TTCTTTTTTTTTAGTTCAATTTCTAACCTGTCATTATAACTTTTTACCAGAATTACAGACCCTCCCGACCTTGGTGAGGGCACAATCTTGCCAAGCCCACCAACTATCTCTAGAGCGGACAGTCGTCTAGATCACTGTCCTCTAGTTACCATTTATAAAGCGGTTTCTGTCAGAAATGGGCATTGATCACGCTAAGAAGACTGGAATGGGAGGACAGATCTTGGTGACAAAGCCTATACTTGGTAGAAGCTACTTGCGTTCGGTTCTCAAGGACTCATAGATGTTGGCCTTTATTATCATAATAATAACGCTGATGTTCGAAGCTACTTTTTAGGTCTTGCGAAAAGCCTTCACTGTAAGCAAAAGCATAATCAATGGATACCCTCGCTGCAATTGCAGGTCTTCCATTTTCCTTTGCAAGCTCGTTAAGTTTGTCGAGCCAGGCAGTTCTTTGACCCAAAATAATATTCCCGGCCGCATTCTTCGAAGGATTTCTTGTTCTGCAGCGCCTTTGGCCAGGTCTTTAGAGTATCGACCTAGCCTATGCAAGATCTCGCATTGCGATATTGACGTTAGTGACCAAAGTGGCTAACAGTGTTGATCTGCCAGGACTCCTGGTATAGGATCAAGACTAAGTCTTCAATCTGTACATTCTAGTGGAGTAATATAATATTCTCCTCTAGTACTTGCCGTATTCATACTAATCTTGATGGTCGTATTTAGCCAATGTGTTAGTAAAAGGCGTAGACCGAAGTTCAGCGGGGCTCCAGAGCTGTTCCACCTCGCGGGGCATCGCATCGGCGCTCTTTCAATTCAATTTACCCGTATTCATTCGAAACATACGACCTCGTAATTCGTTTTCCTGCACAGATTATCTTAAAATTTTGTTCAGAATCAGCTTTCAACCTTGGAACCTCAAGGATCCTAAACTATTACGTCATTGGGGAAGCTTAGAATCACCTCACACATTCAAGATGACCGCTGGCAACAGGATCCTTCGCGTGGGAATAATCGGGTAAGAATCCCATTGCCAAGCGCCGTACCCGGTTGATACTGATATTCCAGCCAGATGTGGCGAAATCACCCAAGTTGCCCACATTCCAACTCTCGGGTTCCTCTCCGATTGCTTCCAAGTCACGTACCTGTGTGATGTCTCCGACAATGCGCTCGAACACTGTGCCAAAAAGGTCATTGGAGGCACCCCCAAGAAGACTCGCAAGGCAGCGGAGCTCTGCGCCTCACCGGACGTAGACATCGTGATGATTGCGAACAGCGACGCCTTCCACGTTCCCCACGCGGTACTAGGCCTGAAACACGGCAAAGTCGTCTTCGTCGAGAAACCCATGGCTCTCTCCCTACAAGATGCAGACCAGCTCATCAAGCTCGAGCAGCAAAGTTCCGGAAAGCTGATGGTGGGATATATGCGACGGTATACGAGTGGCTTTATCGACGCCGTTAAGGAAATAGGAAGCTTTGATCAAGTGTGCTATGCGCGCGTGCGAGATATCGTCGGCCCGAACTCGAACTTCGTTGGTCAGTCCGGCACGTTCCCTAAGGTTTTCTCTGATTACAGAGCAGAGGATGTGAAGGAATTGTCGAGCAGGACAAACGAGTTCCTTGAACAGGCTTTGACGACCGAGTTGGGGATTCCGGTTACGGCTGATACCGCTGCTCAGTGGAGGAACTTGGGAAGTCTTGGCTCGCATGATCTTAGTGCCATGAGAGAGGCTCTTGGTATGCCGACAGCTGTGCTCGGTGCTTCTCTGTGCTCTGCGAATGGACCGCCGTTTTGGAGGTAAGTTGCGAATTCTATATCTGTGGTTCCAGGTGACATATTGATCTTGTTTCTTCCCTAGTGCCCTCTTCCAATATCCCTCTTTTGCTGTGTCTTATGAGTCTGGAATTGATGACGTCCCCCGTTTCGACGCGTCGATTGAGGTTTTTGGTGGGCATAAGACTGTCAAGATCTGCTTTGATTCGCCTTATGTCAAGGGGTTGCCTACCACTATGCACGTCCGTGAGAAGTTGCAAGATGGCTCATTCCGGGAGTCTGTGGTTCGGAAGACGTATGAGGATGCTTATACTCTGGAAATGAAGGAGCTTTATGCATTTGTTGTCGAGGGTAAGCCGGCTAAAACCACTTCGAAGGATGCTAAAAAAGATCTTGAGATCTTCGGTATGATTATGAAGGCAGGTCTGGAAGGGCAAGCTAGGCTTAAGGGTATTGTCCAAAACTAGACTTTGGCGTGCTCATGCTGGTACATACTTTTGGAAGGCATTGTTAAAAAGGTCATCGCCTCTAGGCTATCCGGCAGCTTGAGATCAAACGGCACTCAAACTGAGGATGGAAGGGGATGCAAGAGGCATGGGCCAAGCGTCAATGACGACAACCGCGGGGCTAAATGCCCGCCCATCCATATTCATCCCCATAGGGCAGTGACATTTCTCATATAAAGTGAACATAGAAACTGAGTGCCAAAGTATTTACCCTTGATATCTACTTTTGCTTTCCGGTGGGGATGTTGAAGAAGACACCAGGGACACCAGGAGCAGGAACCCGATCCACACGGTAGAAGCCCTTGCGATCGAACTGCAAAATATCGCCAACATTGGCCTCGGATATATTGCAATCGGCCAGCCCACTCACACGGAACTCTGTGTTGAAGTTGAGGACATCCTCGAGGATGTCATCCTTACTCAACGAGTCCTTCTTGAGCAGGTAGTCAAAGCCGACCAGCTCGACAGGGACCAGAGTTTGGCCCTCGGTGGACAGCCAGGTCACCTTCTTCTCGGTTTTCTTCACGTCACCAGCCATATGCAGCTCTAGTTCCAGATGCGTTACTTTGCCGGTAGAGCCATCGGTGGAGATTTTGCGCACAATTGCATTACCCCAGTTCATCAGCGTGATCTCCTCGTCCTGCTTGAAAGATTTGGCATCAACCTGCTCTAGAACAGTAGAAGGAGAGAAAGCCACCACTTTCTCGCCAAGAGCGGTGTTTTTGACATGCTTTTGGCGCTTTTCCGTGTATGAGGTAGCGGGACAACCAGTAACAGTAGCCTTGACCATGTCCTCTTTTCAACGGCTGTATGGTGAGGGGAAACTGGGTCGATGTACTTCTTGTTGGTGGCCCAAATTAAGCCCCAGTCAAATAGGGTCACATTCTTAGACGGACCCTGCTTGAGAATGAATTCGCGAAGCGCGGGAATAGTCATCCACGACGGCGAATAGCGCGAATAGTGGGGAAACGAGGGTGTAGCATGGTCGTTAGTACTAGCCTATAAAGCTCGAAAAAGCCGAGCACTTACCGTCACATCCCCATACGACGCCGCTTTCCACAAGTTTGGTTAGCTTTCGATTAGACAACAGGGTACGGATGAAGTTCATGCGAGCAAAGTCCCAGACCTGCACAGTACGGAGGTTCAGAGTATCGAGCATCCACTGGTACTGCGGGTTACGGTCTCTGTATTCGATGGTCCTCAGGGCATGGGTAACGCCCTCCATCGAGTCGACAGTGGGACAAGCAAAGTTGTATGTAGGATAAATAACCCAGGCATCGCCTGTACGGTGATGAGTAGCAGGATTGCATCGGTAGATCACAGGGTCGTGTAGGGCCTTGTTTTTATCATCGAAGGAGATCTTAGCACGGATACACCACCGTAGGCCCTCAGAAGTGCCCTTCTTCATCTCCTCTAGGTGAGCCAAGGACTCCTCAGGAGAGAGGTCACGACGCTGGATAGGAATGCCGTCCCACTGCTGGTTCTTCATGGTCTCATGGTCAGTGTCATCGGCATAGGCCTTTCCAGATTTAATAATCTGAAGATAACAGTTGTAGAGTTGATCAAAGTAGTCACTAGTATAGCTGACTTTGTCAGGCCGAATTCCCATCAATGCAAGATCCTTAACAATGGCATCTTCAAACTCTTGCTTCTCCATTCCACATTGGTCTCGTCGAATCGAAGTAGAAGAGTGCCATGATACTTCTCATGGGCAAAGTAATAGTTCAAGAGAGCGGCTTTGGTATGTCCGATATGAAGGTACCCAGAAGGCTCTGGCGGGAATCTAGTGACGACGCCCTTCTCGGTGTTCTTTAGGGCAATATCGTAGCTGGCACCCTCTTTGGACTTAGCGAGCTTCTTCTCGCGAGAAGCAGCATTCAAAGATTCAAAAGCTGATGTGGCCCAAGGGCACAGCCCCTCGGGTCAGGTTGGCGAGAGTACCCCTCTTAAGAGCGGCGATAGCGACACGGTTTCCGCGAAGGGCACTCCATAGTGCAATGTCCGCTGTCAAAAGGGAATAACCTGACAGGAAGGACCCGGAGGAGTTGGTGGTTATCGAGACGCTTGATAGAGATCTCAGACCAGTTCAATGCAGCATTTACGTATAGATTGTTCTAACCTGGAGGATCGGGTCAAGCGCTTTGAATTCCAAGGTGTCGAAGGAATCTAATCGAGTAAGCCATTCATTCTCCTAGATACAACATTTACGTTAGAGCTTAGTGACTTATAAAGATTCAAGGACACGCTAACTCACCACCCTAGTATCCTTGCCCACAAGGAAAGGGAACTGCGCACACAGCTCCTGGATAATAGGAATAGTGCCAGTAAAAGCCTTGCCACCTGCTTGAGACTGGATGGTCGACTTCTCGCCCCCGGTTAGCAGGACTGTGTCCTCCAAGCTGACATTGATGATTGGAGCACTAAGGGAAGGTTAGCTTGTTTATAGGCTAAGATCCCATCCATAGACGGACCTTGGGAAATCCCAGGGCTGAAAAATTCTAGTGACCCGTAGCGAATTAGAAACAGCCTTGGAAGGCTTTCAATAATGCGCAAGAAGATGTGGCTTGCCGTAACATATCGCGGCTATGCGGGCAGATATGTACATAGATCGACCCGTGGACCAGAGGAATCACGGCAGTATTCAGCCAAACAAAGGGATATTCTCGGAGAAGTTTAAGACATTGACCGAGAATAGGATATATCAAATCCTATGCAACCCCTACGAATATGACCTTGTGATAGTACGATTTCCAAGGTTTGGCCTATTTTTTACATAATCCGCTTCTCCGCATCCACGTGAGTCTCCACCAAAGACCCGATCCCGCAGTCCCTCAACTTCCCGACATTTTTGTTTCTCGATTTCGTTGTTTGTCGCATTATCCTCGGCAATCGTTTCGGAGTTCGCCCATGATGCCCTGAATTGACTGGTGTTGGTGACTCGAATAATGCAGAATCGTGGCCGATTTGGACGAATGATGCCAATGGTACTCCTGCCATGTCCTCCGTCAACGATAACGCCCCCTCGCCGCTCCCGGCGGATGGGGTGAGCAAGCGCAAACAAGGTAAGCGCTTGTGCAATGCCCCTGGCTGCCTGATCATTGTGCATCTTAATTTGTGGTCTCTTTTTGTTCTCGGTTATCGGTTATTTTTCCGCGATCAGACTCGCTAACCGGTGACTCAAAAAACTCTTAGGCTCCGCAGCTTGTGTCCACTGTCACCGGCGCAAGGTTCGCTGCGATGCCCGCACCGTCGGGACACCCTGCACTAACTGTCGCGCCTCCGGAAAGGCCGACTGTCGCATACACGAGAAGAAAAAGCGTCTTGCAGTACGCTCAATCCTAGATCCCGTTCCGATCCGATCTCGGCCTCTACCCACACCCGATCCCACTTCAAACCCGGCCCTTGCAGCGGGGACACCACTACCAACAAGTTTTCCAACTGCATTCCAGAGTGGCCATGCTACACCAATATCTGGGGGCCTTCCGCAACATGCATTCCAGCAAGGCACGGGATCGGAGACATTTGGCCGGCACGGCCCCGATATGGCGCATGCCCACGAGGCACACTCGGAGATGGAGCAACATCTCGTTAAATTGATAGATGAGGAGGAATCCGGCAGAAGAGAGATTCAAAGAGGCGTGCGCGCCTTCTATGTCGGACACGAACATTCGAACATGTCATTCTTGTTCCGACAACAACGAGAACAAGATGACGACGTATACCATTTTGCGAGCAACGAGATCCCACGGCGTCAAATGAAGACGGGTCACGATCAGCTTCTTATGGATGCTCTAACACTTCCAGAACCGGCTCTGGCAGATGAATTGGTCCAGGCTTATTTCACATATGTCAATCCGGGGTACCCTATCATCGACGAAGATTTATTCATGACGCAATACCGGAACCGGGATCCTGCAGATCCTCCGCCAGTTCTACTTCTTCAAGCAATTTTGCTAGTCGGAGCACATGTTTCTCGTGCAAAGGTAGAGCGAGACGCTCTCAAAGAAATTTTTTTCCGCCGCACAAAGTATCTGTTTGACAATCGTATCGAGCGAAATCGCGACATTCTTGTTCAAGCAGCCCTTCTTTTGACGTGGCATTCAGATAGCGCAGATGATGATGTTGCTGCGGACGCTCACTTTTGGGTTGGGGCCGCTGCGCGTATCGCCACTGGACTCGGAATGCACCGTAATCCCGTTTCCAGTAGCTTCGTGACTCGTGATCGGAGAATGTGGCGGAGAGTTTGGTTCATTCTGGTCCAATTTGATGTGTTGATTTCCCTGTCATATGGCCGACCTCAAGCGATGTAAGTCATTCCAAACCACCAACTTGCAGCAGATACTAATCAAATTTCAATTTAGTAATCTGGACGATTCCGATGTGTCTCCTTTGACGCCCGCTGATTTCGAGAATTGTGGCCCTCTTGTACAAGCAGACTACGTGATCCATTTTACCGAACTGTGTACGATGATTTCATATCTCATTCGCGATCGATTTGGACTTCGGGCAAGTGAGGAACGGCGAAAGGCCGTTCTTCAAGAAGCCGACGGGTCACTGGCAACCTGGTCCCTGAAACTTCCTGATAATCTTCGGCTCCGCGCATCTGATATGGATCCTTGGTCCGCCATGCTCCATTTGACCTACAACAACTTCCTCATTCTGCTGCATCGGCCCCATCCAAGAGCCTCGGCCTATTCCGATGATTATGGCCCTCACGATGCAGAAATTTGCAGTGCAGCCGCCGGGGTTATAGCCTCAATTTTCGAAGAGCTCAGGATGCATGAGCGGTTGAAGTTCCTTTGGTACACTGGCGTCCATACCCTCTTCACGGCCATGATTCAAGTCCGAGTTGAGCTCCGCTTCTCCAATCCAGTTCTTGCCATCAATGCTTTACGCCGCTTCGATTCTGCCTCTTACTCGCTGCGTGAGTTAGCTCAGTACTGGGTCCATGCCGGCACAATCCTGCGACTCTTCGAGGACTCCAAGCGTCTGCAAGAGGATCTTCGGATGGCAACCACGGAGCGACCCAAGCCGTTTAACGACACTCATCATGCGCATAAGATGCCCGTTACTTCCCCTGTTCCATCAATTACCATGCAAACACCCGGACCACTCTCCTTCGGTGTGCCCACCCCCGAATCGACCCCTCTCCAACAAACAAACCTTTCACCACAACCCAATCCTCAATTCAATAATTGGATTGCCCCACTCCGGCTTAATGTTGGCCCGCTAGAAAGAAACGATCCTTTCTCAAGCAGCATGCAGGTGGATTCCATTGAACCAGCTCGCGACTATCCTGACTGGCGACAGTTGTTCGCCTTCGGTGATGTAGACCTACCTCCCCCTGTGGGGGTTGAAGGTCTGCCCGAGCTTGAAGATGAATGGCGGCAGATCTACTGGCAGGATGCCCCAATGGCAGACCTTATTCACGATGGAGGATGGATACATAGCTAGCTTTGTCTACGTCTAGTTGATGACTGTATAGAGCTGTCATCTTTTCCGTCGCCTGCTCTCCACACACCTTTTCTACTTTGACGACGAGACGAGCCATGCCAGGGCACGCAGATACACGATACATTTTAGAGACCATGTCAGGCCACAGACACCTACAGGCCCAAACCACGATACCATGTCACAAACGATCATATACAATGATAGAGATATACGTCATATAATTGCAAATAGTGATATCGGATAAAATTAGTTGGGGCTTTTTCATATCTCAAATGTCTAAACTTGGCAATATCCATGGATGTACGTACGCGAGTGTTCTAGATTGCGCCATATATGCGTGTTCGCTAATCGCGCAGCTTAAGAAAGCCGCAAAAGAAAACTGCAATAAATCAGAAATCGAACTGAAGCTCACCTCATGCAGGAATAGAAAAACGAAATGCAAGACCTAGCCAAACACAAACCGACGCCAATTATCTGCAAGCACCCGGACACCATGCCGCAACTCCCATCCACGTAACTGACAAACCTGTCGGGCCACGTCTTCCAGCACCTCATCCATCTGCGCACCTGCAACATGGAGATCACTTTCGATAAGAATGCGGTCCTCAGGCAAAGCCTTGATAACATCGCCGACCTTCTTCCCAGCAGTACCGGAGAAATTGATAAGTTTCGAGAAAGAGAAATAAACATCCGACGGATTCGACCGATGCAAGAACTGGCGAATGGGCTCAACCGAACCGGTATAAGAGTGCATGCAGATACGAGGCGGAAACGGCCGATACAATTTCCCATCGAGGTCGGATGCTTTAGTGGACTGGGATCTGTCCGGCATTTTATCTTCGTCATCGTCTTCGTCGTCATCAGATACGGCACCTTCTGCATCCCGCTGCTTGTCCCTCTTCCGTCGCGACAGGACAACCCGTTCATGTCCTGTCCAGAGATCCTTAAGCACCTCGAAGACCCCGCCGTGCGCTTGCACGCTATGAAGCGAGACAGCACGGTTCATTTCTCCCGCTAGCTGTAGCTGCGCTTTTAGCACGGTGCGCTGGTGTTCCGGCTTGACACGGTAGATCGAGAGACGCCGCCCCTCGCGTGAGCCGGGTGTAAGCTGGTCATCTCTGTTTTCGATGTCTGTTGGAGTCCATGGGCCCGGGAGTCGGAATGACCTGTCCAAGCCGACTTCCCCGACTAGCGCATTCGGGAACTGTTGGAGTCGGTGCCGAGTTTCAGATACTAGTTCTGAGAGGCGCTTGGGAACGGGAAGTAAATCAATGAATGGCTGGTCATCGGCTGGAGATGGTGTTAGGATGGCGGCGTAGTGGGCAGACTTGTTCTCTGCTGGGTTTTGTGCAGCTGTTGGTTGTGCAGTGTCGTCCAGGATCTGATGCGAGAACCACGGGTGCCAGCCGAAGCAGGGGACTACGCGGTCCGCTGTTGATTGGCCTTTTTTGGCTGAGAGTGACACTGCTGCTTGTTGTACGAGATCTTGATCTTCGCCGCGCGTGGCCATGATTGTCAGTGTTGTAGCTTTCATCTGCGGGATGTCGGCCACTGAGGCTAATGTATCGGTGGGGTGACAGTGGGCATCGTAAACGCCAATGTCCCAAGGAAAGGGTTGGTCATCTGGCATGTCTTTTGAGGTTTTTCAACTGAGATCAGAATCGGCCCCCCAGTGCTAGATTCTAAGTTTCTGATATACGACAAGGCTGAAAGTTGCCGAAGTGATGTAACTGGCGTTTGTGTTGCCTGGGGCATCCATCACATGCTTTCTCCGCAATTTGTTGCTTTGCTGCTGTGACTTTGGCCTTAAAATACCGAATGTCTCATAATCATGGACTTCTGGTCTTTTAATCCCTTTCTGGGGATATAGGATGATTCCAAATGTGGCCCTCTCTATCAACGTTGCTCGGGTTGCCTATCCTGGCCCTCATCTCTATCCCCCTCATTCTCTCAGCATGGGTTACAATCTCCGCTGCGCTTTTTGCACTGATATTCAGACTATCAGTAGTCTGTGTTGAGCTAGTCTGTGGATTGGTCGTGCATTTCTTCTCTGTGCCAACGTCACCTACCTCATCATTATTGGCATTCGCGGCGTCAGAACCTACAACCCCAGCTGCTGGTAGATCAAGAAGGAATTCCAGCCAAACGACGACACATCCGCCAAAAGTAATTGATCCTCTCGCTTCCTGGGCTACTGGCACCAGTCTGGACTATCCAGCAAACCGCAAAATGAACTCTTATGCACGGAGCATGATCGAGGCCCACAACTTATCTACCCCAACAGCCACCGTTTACGGCCTGCCTATAAGCGGTGATGAAAGGCGAGACTTCGAAGGCGTAGGTGGGTGGCGCTCGTACCGGGCATCAAAAACACGCAGCTCGCATACTCCGCACGAGAAAGCCATCTCGACCTCGTCCTCTTCGACACATAGCACCGGCGACGTCGATCCAGACGTAGATATCGACGCAGACGAGCGAGCCTGGCTTTCACTAAACAATCGACTGGAGCTCCCCTCGCAGCTCGTCACGCTATGCACAAGTGTGCACGCCGGAAGCACCCTAACCAGCGCCGAAAGCGCTGACTGGCGCAATGGCCGAAGCAATTTCCACTCGCTGACGGGAGCAGCGGGCTCACAGAGCAGCTACTCCGAGAAGCAAAGAAACGGATCAAGACACCACCACCGCTCGCTGACGACTTCCTCGCTAACGACCTCTGACCGGCGCACGGGTACGGGACTCTCCCTAGCGCTGTCAACCAGGCCTGATAATGCAGCTATTCATTCGAGAGAGTACGGCCATTCGATGTTGTCATCAGCAGCACGACCCGCGGCCCCTTTCATGACGCCCCAGCCATACGCGCGGCTGGATTCGAACTCGCTTTCCCAGTTGCTGGCTCTCCCGCGCGCTGTCCCTGCCAGCGGCGTACCGTTCACGAGCTCCTATCTCCCCGGCACTGGGGATGGGCTGGGCCACAGCTTCGGGAGCAATAGTAGCGGCGGGAGCTTTGCAAACGGAGGCGGGGGTGGGTATTTTTCTTTGAGGCGGCCTGGGTCTTCTGGTAGCCATATTCTCTCTGGAAGAGTTAGCCCCAGTGCTAGTGGATGTACTACACCCGGGTTGGGTCTGTCGACTGAGGAGCGTGATGCTCCATCGGTGAGGCTAGCGCGCTTGATGGCGCATTATCCCACTAGCCCTAGGCGTCGGAGACAAAGTATCTCTGGGCCGAATTCGAGGGGATAGGCTGCTGGGGATGAGACTGAATGAAGGGCGTTGTTCTTTTTTCTTCTTTTGGGGCGGGGGCAAGGAGCACAGATGATAAAAAAAAATTGCCATGAAAGCTGTTTCTCCGACTGGAGTATTCATGGCAGAGTGTCATTTATTCCGTCCAAGTCTATCTAGTCAATATGTACCGTACTGAATTGTAGTCACAAAAAGAGGGAGAGGCACATAAACACCAAGGGCCAAAAAAAGAGAAAAAGCCACAATAAAGGAGGGACGAAGTATCCAACACGAAATATCAACATCACACTCCAGCTCTATATTTGATAGAACATCATTCACGAAACTGGGAAAGAAGCCCTATCCGCGTCATGACTGACGACTTCTCTCCCTCCGGGTGACCTCTTCCATCTCGGTAAGCACAATGCTGTTGAACTCCTCCCAGCCATCGAGATACAAATGGTGGCCAGCTTTGTTCACGACGACCACTTTAGAGGAACCTTCGTCGTTACGCTGCTCCTCTGGGGTGGCCTTTTCTAGGACTTTGCGCTTTTCTTCGTCCAATCTAGCTGCTGCTGCATGACCACCCGAGACATCCATCCAGTCGTGGTCGCCATACATGAATACCACGGGGAAACCCTTCTCGCGCCGAGCGGGCGTCAAAGTGTCAGACGAAGTGGTGGCGGCGACGACTGGATGAGGGAGGGCGCTTGCATTTTGGATCATTTGTCGCCCGAGGCCGTGCACACGGTGGATCAGAGGACTGCGAGCGAAAGCACCCGGGGCAAGAATGTATGCTAGGGCGTACTCGCCGCTACCACGAAGACTGAAGATGGAGTATGAATAGTCGTGGAGTGCCTTAGCTTCCTCGGCTGGTAGGTGGGAGAATCGACGTGAAGTCCATCCAGACACGATACGTGGCCCTAAAGGACCAGTCCACCGCACCAGACTGAAGGGGGAGATATTGGCGTCCCATAAATACGCGAACCACTTGGGGAGATTCCGCCGTGGAGCTGGAGCGGAATCAGCCTGAATTGGTTGGCGCCCAGTGATAAAGCTACCGTCGCTTGTCTTCGGTGCTGTCTCTGGAATGGCAGCAGATGAAGCGATATCTCGCTCATCTTGAGTGACCTCGTCGGCCAACGTTGATGCCGGAGGCTCGGACACACCTGCAGTGACAGCGTATGGGTCCTCTGGGATGCCAACCGGAGACGCCAGGATAAGCTTGTTCAGATGACCGGGGTATTTCAGCGCGTAGGCAACCGCCATGTACCCGCCGAGACTGTGTCCAAGCAAGGTGAAGCGATCAATCTTGCGTTTGATGCGCCATTCCTCCAAGGCATCCACAAACCAAGCCTCGGCCTCCCTGATGGCGTCTTCTCTTTCCTTTGCCTTGATTTTGAATGAGGGTCGAGTACTCCGGCCCATGCCTAGCATGTCTAAGGCGTGGAGTTGCCAACCCTTCAACCGACTCAGTGGTTCGAAGTTTTTATAGAAGAAGCCAAGTCCGGCGCCGTAGCCATGGAGCATGACCAAATGTTGGTCTGCTTCCTCACCGATCCTCTCCACCGAGAACTCATTGAGCGCGCGGTCTTGCCCGCTCAGTTCTACCATGCTGGAACGCCATCGCCGCGGGCCATAAGGGTCATCAAGGGATTTGGTGGTGACTTCACCCAACTGATTAGGGTCTGCACTCTCGAGACTGGTCGGGGTAGTGCCATCGGGGAGCTCCGTTGTCTTTCCAGTCTGGAGGTGGGTCGGGGGCTGGTGATGCAAGTAAGGCAGATAAGAGAGGACTTTATGTTCGGCAGCTGCTGCAGGTATACGAGCCCACTATATAGATCAAATCATCAGCGGGCATGCGGCAATAGGAGCTCCTCAGCTGTAGCTTACCCATTGACTGAAGCCTTCTCGGTATCCCAGCGGGAAAAATGCGCGCGCCGCTGCCGCGCCAGCAGCGGCCTGAGCCGCATATGGAGTTCCCGAGATCCTCTCGGTATTGTTTGCATCTGGACGTGGGTGAGGCCCACGGACGTCCTCATCGGACGAGTTGAGTGATTCTGACGCCATTGAAGACAGTCGGTGCCTCCGAGGGAGGGTGGCAAAGACAGCTGAGCGAGGTTTAGCCTGGCGTCGAGGGACTGAAAAGGGAGAAGCAAGTCGCGAGGTTATGTCTGCAGTTCGCAAGTTGGGAAAACAGACGGTTTCTGCTAGCAAAAGTCGGACTGTAGCGCTCATGGACGTATAAGAAGGGAGCGCGGAGACAAATCGGTCACTCCGCTTAACCCCGATAGGCGTGGCATGCGCAAAACCGGGCAGTAGAGGTAATATCCGATGGGAAAGGGCTCGATGAAAAGAAAAAATATGATGATTGAACCCCCCCTTAAGGGCAATGGTCAATGGTCAACACAGAATTATTTGTGTAGAGAAAAAGAAGTCAAGTCAAACTGGCCAGATGATGTCGATCCAACTTCGCTTCCTTTCAACTTTCCGCCTTTCTCTCTCCTCTTCACATGCGATGACATGACCCTCCCAGGCCGGATCGGCCCAGTTTTGATTTGACTTTAACTGACGAGCTTTGCTTTTGATATTTTATTTTCATCTTGGGACTCTTCTACCATGGCCTCGCCTTTAGACCAGGTGGTCAAGGGTGCCCCAACACCGGATGCTCGCGCCTCATCAACCCCAGAGCCATTGAGCTCCTCAAGGTCATCTCAAGCTCACCTATCAGATTCCTCCCCTCCACGTCCCTCGACCCCAGACCCGCTGGCACACCTGCCCTCCTCCCCGCCCCAGATCTACCTTAACCTTTTAATACTCGAAACCTCGCTGCGAGCCCAGTATTTGGCCTTGCGCGAGCGTCGCCGCCAGAACACGTTCTTCCTACTCTTACTAGCCGCTTGGCTTGCCCATTTTGCATATGCCCTTTTCCTTCGCCCGCGTGAAGATGGCCGCGGCGTCGGCGGCTCCGTCTACTGGGTGGTGGAGATGGGGGAGAAAGTCGCCCTGCTTGGCGGGGTGGTTACCGCACTGCTCGTCTGGGGTACAGGGCAATGGGAACGAGGAATCAGATGGCCTCGACGCTGGCTCGCTGTATCCAATCGTGGCCTGCGCGTGATGAATACCAAGATCATTATCATCCGCGGTCCCTTCTGGCAGGAGCTACTGTCTTACATCTCATTCCTATTCCCGTTCTCTGTCCCGTTTTTACCCTCTCCCAATGGAAACTACCATTTTGTGGAGCAGAGCCCCGCTGATAGGCGCGCTGGTGGTAGTCGGCAGCACTATCAACAGTACTACAACGGCACCGACAACGGGTCCGGCTTGGTAGAAGAAGACCTCAGCCCGGGAGGCGACTACATCCGTCTCCTCCTTCTGCCCAAGTCGTTCTCCCCAGAATTCCGCGAAAATTGGGACGATTACCGCACAGAATTCTGGGAAAAGGAAAACGAGCGCCGCGCCCAGCTACGCCTGAAACTGCGCGAGCGCGAGCACCACCTCGCCCAAACAGAAGGAGGCTGGTTCGGCCGGCTCGGGCTCGGCTGGCGCGCCTCCCAGCGCCGCCGCCTCGTCACAGGGACCCTGCATCGCCCAATCGAGCCAGAATTTAAACACCGCCTAGGCCACGGCCACCACCCCTCTATCACGAAACTCAACCAAGAGCAGCGTGGTTCCTCCCGCCGCAGTACCCGCTCCGAGTCCCATTCCCGCACCTCATCCCGCAGCACCACTCCCGTGGACACTAGCTTGGAAGACCGTCCCCCTTCCCGCTCCTCCACTTCCAGTCGGCCCCGCCGTGGAAGCACCGCCTCTGGGCAGGACGCGAGCCCACAGCAGCGGAAACGGAAGGGCTCGACGCTTCGCCGGGGCTTGTCGCCTCTTACGCAGGCGCAGATCCGAGAGGGTGTACGTACCCCGTCCTTCTCGTCTGACGACTCTGTGCTGCCTATGGGTATGGTCGAGAAAGATAAAGAGGAGGCTATACCGAATTCTGTTCCGGAATTGTAATACCGCACCGCACCTTGGCACGAAATGTCGTTCATGCTTATGCTGTTCATATCTCTATACCCTTTTTTCCCCCTCTCTTGTAATGTTTGGCAGACACTTGTTGCTCAGATCGCTGTTTTTGGAACCTTGCATTAGCTGTGTATGCATATCCCTTAGAGCGGGATGTCGTCAGTGCTATAGATAAACTCGAGTGCCTCGCCTATGTATGCTGTTGTGTTGCATCTGATTCCTTTGGAAAACTCCCATTTTACTGCATCTTTCCAAGGTTACAGTGTCAATGAACAAATATCTGCTAATCAGATCACACCACATGGAATGACATTACAATTGCAGGTGAGCTAAGCCTAGGACTGCACCATTCAGGTCTTGATTTAAGTCAAGGATCGAGTATCATTCGTATTTCTCGTATTGAGTCACTAATATTCCCTCGCAACCCACTCCATACGCCAAACACACAAAAGGACATGCGATGATATCAATCCCAATGCAATGACAAGAAAGCATGCTCGTAAAACGGGACGCAGGCAGATCCAGCGTTCTCCCCTCAGCTATCTTCCGCAGCAGGAGAAATGTATAGACAGATGCCACATAACCCAGATAAATTAGACCCGGTACACATCTTCATCGTCCTCGAGGTACATCAGGATATTGTCTTCGTTCATGACCCGCAAGGCCTGGATAGCCTCAGGGCGGGAGAATACGTGCGAAGTGCCAAGTTGGGGCGATTCCCGGATAGCATTATTAACAGCATTGATCAAGTCATCAATCTTGCTTGTATCGCTGTCTTTGAACACGGTCTTGCCCATAAGCGGGCCTAGAGTCTGCCGGAAGACTGTCATGCGGGCAGGCGTGATCGGGACGTCTGTAGAAGTGGACTGCGAGTCTGTCTGGGATTCAATGAGTTGCGAGGCTGGCTGCGAGGATGCCATTGACATCTGAGAGTCGGTTTGGGTTTGGGTGCGGGCTGTCTGGCTCGAACGCAAGCGTTGAGCGCGAGGGCTGGCTGTGTATAGGCTGTCTGGGTCTTCGTCCTCGTCTGGGACTGGAACACTAGACTGTGTTGCGGTACCGCGGGTACGTGCTGTGCCAGTGCGTCTACCCGGTGTGGCGGTCGATGTGCCGCGGGCGTTGGTATCATCATCGGAGTCGTCGTCGAGTTGGGCATCGCTGTCGTCGGAGGAGGAATCGTCGAAGGTGGTTACCTTGCGTCTCTTCCGGCGCTCGTCCTCGACCACTTCCTTGAACATTGCGAAGCGCAGGATGGCCTCGGCACTTTTAGCATCCTTCTCGTCTACGCGATTGGATAAGCGAGCCTTGGCGTGTGCAGTAGACAAACGAATCAGCGTCTCTAGGGTACGCGGGGTGATGGGCGAGGTGCGACGCTTGTTGCCAGTGAGTTCATCATTTCGGAGAGCAGAGTATGTGGCGATGACGTGGTCGGCAGCACCCTTGGTCAAGACGGGCATGATTCGCTTCTTGGCGTATTGGATGTACTTCTTGATGAAGGGAATACTAATGATTTCCACATTCTTACCACGGCGACGGCCAGCATTGGCAGCGTCAACCATACCACCGTGCAGCATGACATTGAACTTCTCGAAAACCTCACTTGGCGCGTTGGCATCTTGGCGGTTTTCGCCTCCCACGCCCAATGTTTGATTGAGCTGTTCCCGGACGGGCGCACCCTCTTCGGTGCCAGGCTGGCGGTAACGGTGCATACGTAGAACGTGCTCTGAGATTATTCGGTCATGGGCGTCCTCGATATCATCGGTCACGACGAATAGCAAATCGAAACGAGAAAGCAAGGAGTCAGGGAGAGCAATGTTCTTATGCGGGTCCTTGTGGGGATCATATTGGCCATAAATCGGATTGGCTGCTGCAAGCACACTACAGCGAGCATTCAAGCTTGTGTGGATACCGGCTTTCGCAATTGTGACGGTCTGCTGTTCCATGACTTCGTGGATGGCGACACGATCGACATCACTCATTTTGTCGAACTCATCAATACACACCACACCGCGGTCACCGAGAACCATTGCACCAGCCTCCAGTCGACGTTCGCCGGTTTCTTTGTCGGATGTAACGGCAGCAGTCAAACCGACACCGGACGAACCTCGGCCGGTAGTAGCGATTGCCAGTGGCGCGGTATTTAACACGAAACGAAGAAGCTGGGACTTCGCAGTCGAGGGATCACCAACCATAAGGATGTTGATATCACCACGAAGATGGGTTCCGTTATCCAAGTTCTTTTCCATTCCACCAAGGAGCATCAGGAGAATGGCTTTTTTGATGTAGTCGTGCCCGTGGATACTGGGAGCCAGGGACTTGGACAACAAGTCAAACACATTCCTCTTCTTGGCAATCTGATTGATGTTTCGAATGTCGGTATCCGTAAGCACGGCCTCCGCAATACCTCCACCGCTCTTTGAAGACAACTGAATAATGTTGTTTGCCATGATGACGGTGCGGAAAGTCGACGAGCCACTGCCTCCGTTACCGAGGGTACGGTAGATACCCACCAACTGGATTCTATCACCAGGCTTGGCAGTGTCGACGAGGTCGTCGTCCAAAATGACATCGACACTTCGGGGCAATTGCCCTGCTGGGGCACGTTCAGGCATTTCTTGGATAGAAATCGACTGGTGGTCGAGATATGTCGAGTAACCGTATTCTGTGATAAGCTAGAAGTCATATCATTAGTCTCAAAGAATTGGATGAGATTGTCCGGGCTAGACTTACCGGGTTCTTTTCATCGTCCTCTTGAGGGTAAACGTTCAAACTGGTTGCACCGCTGGCACCCATAGTTTGATCACGATATTTTCTGGCAACAAACCGATCCTTCCTCTCGACGTAGTGAACACTCTGAATGATCTTGGGGCGTACCAGAGAGCATTTTGTCACAATCCCCTCGAGCGAGACCATGTGGTTCAATTGTTCCGAGCCCAATGTGCGCGGATTGGAAGAAAATTCCCCGAATGCGCCGACATAGGCGCAGTAGTAGTTCTGTCGATATCGTTAGACATTAAACGTCTGCTAAGAATCATCCAAAACCAAATACACACCGCATCATCCGAAGTTTCTCTAAGTGGTCGACCAGGCAGGGTTTTGACGACCGCCTTCAAGGCTGCGTCAAAGGCTTGTGAATAATCGAATGGCGAAGAAAGCAGCCTACATACATTAGTCGGTGAACCCAATTTCACTTCTTATAGAGGTGTAATTTACCCGTCGGCAAGCTCTCTGTTGTGTGCTCTGATTTCATCGATGCTGACCTGTCCAGAATTATCAGCACTAGCTTCTGGCAGGGAATTTCGCAGATCCACGCACAGTCAATCGTCGCCCACCCTTGTTCAGCATAACCACAATATCCGCCCGATAACTGTTCCAATATGTTAGATGTATATTATAGCATATTGATCCCCGAGGTCGACGAACCTGCGTGCCCGTGCATCATCTGAAAAAAGAACTTTGTTAGCTCAAGGACCACAACACGTAACTCAATGGACTTACTAGGGTCAAGAAATTCAGTTGCGGCACGCACGCGATCCTGCGCGGCCTCATCACGTAGTTGTAAGCCGTCCATGATGTGTGATGCAATATAGCGTGGTGGGAAGGAGGGAGTCGAGGGGGGGCCTGGGATTTCCCGATTTGCTAAAGTGGAACGCGTGAAGTTGCACGCGAGGAAGGCGCGTCCCACGGACACCACGTGCCGTGCTGAGTAAGCGAATAAATTTTCCAGCCGGCTATATAAGCCGCCATTCCCCCGATCCTTTTCTTCTTCTTCAAGCGACTCTACGTGCGTTCCCCTCCCCCCAAAAGTTGGAACCCTTCTGGGTTTTCACACTGGACTTTGGCATTTTGGACTTTTATACTGACTTCTTTCCTCGTACAGTTCAAAGAATCACTTTAGAGTAGACGTCCCCTTTCTAAACTCTTTAAAAGAGCCACAGAATCTCCACCCTTGCTGATGACTATATGTCCTCGATGCCCTAAAGTGAAACCTTTTTACTTCCGCCTCGACTGTCACGCGTGCTGTCCACAGTGTCTGTGTTTCGGTCTAGGGAGTGGTGATGATCTTGACCTGGTCTCGACGTCTTGACTTCGGTCGGTCGGTCCTGGTGGGTGTCGAGGAGGTCTGAAAGGTCCTCTTCCATTCTAGTCGATGGTATGGAGTGCTGTATGTGAGCCGTTCATTTTACACTATCTCCAATGAAAATATTTTCAATTCACTTAAATACCCGCCGGAGGAAAGTTCTTTCGTAGCTTCCTTGCATGTGCCATACCTGCTCCCTAGATTTGTAGCTGTCCGACAATATTTCCCACTTGCATGTAGCAAGTGCATGTCCGATCTACCATTCGCCATGATTACCCCGGTACGTCGTTCTTTGCACTTGGCTCTCACCAGTCAAAGGTGCCATAGCATAGACAACATACTACTACATGTAGATTGAAATAGACAGGAGAAATCGACTGCCTATAGTTCCTCTGTTCTCGACATTACATTTAAGATACTACTAGGTAGGCACTACGGCATCTTTTTGGACGCCTTCTTCCCTTTTCGGTTCTATGGCTGGGAAGCTGAAAAAGAAAAGAAAGTGGGCTCAGCAGTACGGGCGACATTTATATATATAACCGGTTATATCTAATGAAAGTTGGATAAATTCATATATTGTACAAAATCAAATAGTAAAAACAGGACATATAAAACAACCTAAAATTACACTGTCACTATATATAATATATACATGGAGCACACTGCTCAACGGTCCTCGCCCGGTCCTTCCCTGGGTGTCCAGGGTCCCTTGTATCTTTTTCGCACAGAGGCTCGTTGTGATAGTGGCCGTCCGGGTTTCACATCGAGCCCAGTATCAGTCTTCAAGAGAAGGTGGTTTGGAGTATCCAGCTTCCACTTGCGATTATGCTTGTCGAACAGTTGCCGCTCGGGGGTCGGCCTCTTGATGTCGACACGTTGAAACTTGCGCAAACGTCGTTTATAGGCGTCGGCGCGCGGGATGTCGTTGTCTTTGTACGCCTTAGCAATAATCTCTTTGTACTTCTCGGCTCGTTCCTTCCAGTGAATTGTCCCCTTGAAATACTCGCGAACTGTGGTTTCTACGTCAATTTGGTCCTCGCGAGGAAGGATGCTCGCCAAAGGACCCAAGACTTTCTGTTGGCCACTGGGGAGTAAGCCAGTAATATTCGACTCGTTGACGGAAGGTTCGGAGTATTCGCCCTTTCTCAATTCGAGAGGCTCCTTAGTCGCGTCATCAAAGCTACGTTCACGCATGTCGTAGCTGGGGCCAAGAGCACCAGAGCGCGAGGAGAACAGAGTGGTCGGGCGTGGGAGGATATCGCTTTTTTCCGCCTTGCCGCGAAGAATTACAGCCTGATGTTTATCACGCGAGCGTGGCATCGTGGCAAGGACATCAACAGTCTGTGGTGCAATTTTGTAGATATTCGCCAGATGCTCATTTCCCTGTGCAATACTTGTTTGCCGGAGCCGTTGCAGTGTGCTGGCTAGTTGCACCATGGTAGGGTAATGAGGGTGCATATAATCGGGCTCAATTTTACGCCAATGCTTTCGGGCCAATCTTCCCATCATCCTGCGAGGTTTGGTGATACCCGAGCGACCTTCGAGATGGAGGATTGTCACGGGGGCATTGATTGGTCTGACGCCATATCCCTTGAGAAACCATGACCAACCAGGGAAATGAGCAATGAACTTCTCTTCGAACAGTCGAAATGCCTCCACATTGTCGGAATAATTATCAGATGTTGCAAGTACTGTAACATAAGTTGACCAGTTGAAACCAGTCAATGCAAAGCCCGCTGCCTGAACCTCAGCCACAACTTGATGTATTCTTTCGGACATGCCTCGGCGAGCCAAAGACTGCAGGTAAAGCGAAAGTGGATAGTCCAGGATGAAGCGTTGGGCAGGGATGATTTTGGGCTTTTCTGCCTGTGTGGTGGACATTGAAAGAATTGATGGGAGAGGGGACTCAGTTGGCGCTGGCTGGGGTAACGCCGACGATCGTGCAGAGAGGATTTTGTCAAGGTCACAGATTCTGGCTTCCTCACTTGCCCTTTCCATAATACTGTTCCAGCACTCTTCCACTTTCTCATAGTTCTTGGTTTCGGAATAGGCATCCATAGCGGCTTTGATGAACTGTATCGGCAAGGATTTCAATTCATCGCCGTCCGATGATCCCGCAGTTCGTCTGAGTTGCATGTAATGAGTGAAGATTTGGAGTGCCTTTTCGGCGCCACCTTGCTTGCCGTATGCTTGGACCAGACGTTGATAGTGCGTTGCAGTGAAAGTCTCAGCAGCAGAGCCCTCTAACTGCGTAGTTAGCCGACTGTTGGCTGGTGACGGACTGGCATTGAATTGTGCAATTGATTCAGAAAGTGTCTTTTCTGCATTATCCAAGACGATATCTTCAACGGGAGTTTGAAGATCTTTCGCGTTTTCCACGTCTCTCGCAGTCTGCATTCTCAGGTTCAACAGGCTTGCCTCCATCCCAACTCGACCGAAGCGTGCTTGCATTTCGCGGGAGAGGACGTCCACCATATCGCGGTTCCGTTGCTTCACATACCCAAGTAAGAGAATAGAGTAATGATGCTCGGTGGCTTCCAAACCAATTTCGTGCATCTTCCGGAGAGTACCTTGGGCACGATCCACCTGCTTAGCATAGACATAAGCAAGCATAATAGCCGCGTAAGTCATGTTGTCCGGTTTCAGGCCCAACCGTCCCATGCGGTCAAGGACGCGTCGGAAGGAAAACTTTGATACCCTGAATGCATACCGCATTAGAAGAAAATTCCACATTCGCAAGGGAGACCCTCCCACCGCTAAATCCCAGCTGCTTGCGACAAGCTCTTCTGCATGACTCAATTGCCCATTCTTGCAGTACACCTGAACAGCCGTATCAAGCATTGGCCTCGAGATTTGTACTTGACTCGCCTGCGCCTCTTTGAGCAATTGACGAATAGCTTCGATGTCGCCTCGCTGGGCGAAAATCCCCATCAGTGTGCCAAATGTGTACGGGTTGGGAGGTACATAATTTTCTCGCATTTCTGAGAAGGTAGAAACAGCACCTGATAAATCCTTGGCAGTAGCGTACGCCAGAAGCAGTATGTTCCAGCAGACTGTGTTCAGCGGGAGACCAAATTCTGTAGGAATTCGCTCGAATTGTCGCCGTGTCTCACGCACATCACCTAGCCGCGCATGAACAGCAAGAAGGGGCGTCACCGACATTTGAGTCTTCGGGGTGCCGTGATCTGCCAGCAACCTATCGAACAGGTGTTGGACAGTTCGTACATCCCCAAGCTTTGAAAAAGCATTCATGACGTCATGATATGAGCGGATGCTTGGTCTTTTATATTCATCGAAGTGCGCCTCTTCGTCCAAAAAGTATATCATGCTTTCGGTCATGTTGAACTCCAACAAGCGACGAATGATAGAGTGAATCGTGCGCGCCAGTGGCCTTGCATCCGGAGATTCCAATCGCATTTGGCGATAAACAAGAATGCACTTGACAAATTCTGACCTCCGCTTTGATTGTAGGAAGACTTCCATCAAATCAACATAGTATTCATTAGTAAAAAGACCAAGAGGACGCGATTTGCGCAACAGTAAAAGCAAAGTTGGTATCGGTGTGACTTTGACGATGTCATGAGAGGTGATAAATCGCTTAATTAGACGGCGAGAAAAATCTTCCTTTGCAGCACTAATCTTGTCGGTATCCTTCTGCAAGTAGGCATATAAACCAAAGATATGCCTGGAAAAGGAATACTCAGGCAAGTGAAAGCTATCAAATCGATCCAGCAAAGAGTCCAATGGCGGTCGCTCGTTTTCAGGGATCTCCAATAGGGAGCTCCAGAGTAAGTTAATTTTGGACCACTGTCTAAGTTTCACCATATGCACCAGGCCCTGCGAGATGATGTCTTGAGCAAATGGCGTCGAAATGGCTTGCTGGCAGATCAAGTTCAAATGCCAGGGTTTTCCGGTTGAACGAAGCTGTGAGCTTATAATGTTCTCGAAGTCTGATTTGGTGCGATCTTCGGGCGAAATTTCGTTGAAGAGTTTCCATGCTCGTTCTTGTTGCTTTGGTTGGCTCGATTTACTCAGATAAGCACAAAGTGCAGGCTTGAGTTTCGATGGGAATCCAGCTGCGACGTACAGCACCCAAGCTTTGTCAAATTCGGTGCCATCCTTCTCAAGGAAAGCCTGGAGCGATGCGCTCGCTTCCCCGTCATTATCGAGATATTCTGGAGATCGAGGCCCTTGTGCCCACTTGGATGCATCGTCGTGGCTGGGCGAAGCTTTTGATGTAGTTTGGTGAAGACTTGAAATGGAAACATAAGATCTCGGAAAGCCCAAGTTTGGTCTTCTCCGAAATCCAGTCCTGTTTTGGGAGCAAGGCAGACGCGAAGCTACCAGAGTTTGAGCCAGCCGAGGACATAAAAATTCGAGCGATGGCCCTATCCCATCGCTTGACTCTCTGCTTTTGCGCTCAGTGCTAAGAACGGAGGACGATCGTTGGTCTGACGCCAGCGAAAGCGCGACAAACCACTGAGGAGCATCCGCCCCAGCGTCGTTGTGCTTCCAGAAATGACCAGAGAGGCAGCTTCTGTTTCGGATCACGCCATTGGAATCTTGAAGGAAACGCCGTCCCGCGTTCTCGAGGGAGCCTGTTGCACGTTCGAGCATCACCCCCAAGCGTAGCTTCAAGCCGTAGGACGCCGTTATCTCGTGATTGAATTGCGTTCAAAACCTCTGTCTAGATAATTATACGTCAGAAAGCTGTCCTGGCTTTGAGCAAGTTGTCCTTGGTGGTGCCATTCGTACCAGGAAAGGAAAACCGAACCCGTCGACTGGTGGAATACAATGTTGCTCCCTCACAAGTCCAGGACACAGGTTGCCAATCAAGATCCAAGCACCTTGATTTGATCAAAAGGGCAATGGTAAGTCCGAGGTCCCATAAGCTTGGAAAACAACGCAAAAGATTCGGAGGTGCATGAAATTGCCGGGGTTTCACCGCCTTTGCTGAGCCCACCAGTTCAACCGTGTCCCTCCCATTCTCATCATGAGGACTCCAAATTAAGGGACAAGACGGAAAATTATCATGGAGGTGACTGACTTTATCTTCAAAGAGAGAGAGGAGGTTCTCCTTGTGGGAGACTACAATGCCTACCGGGCGCACACTACCAGAAAACTGCAGAAACTCCGCAAGAAGCTTGGTCAGGCCACTGTGAAAGCACGCAAGTATACTGCCAAACCAGCTGTGACTGCTGAAAACGTTGGAAGCAATGTATCGTATGTTATTTACTCATGATTTCATTCCCAATTGCTACTTCGACTAGTGTCTAACCGATGCCAGATATGTACATCTTTTGCTCCTTAGTTCTGAACGAGCTTGGGCGCAAGCAATGCACATGAAGTCCACCCATTCCGCAGATACTTCCACAAAGGGCATATCTGGTACTGCTCGCCGTCACATTATTTCTCGACTGAACAAGGCCACTGGGTATGCGCAGCATCTAGTCTCGCTGCTTCACGAACAACCACTTTCTGGGGCAAATGATATGGATATCCTGGAGACTCGGGCTTATTTGGCAATGATTTCCGGTACTCTGTGGCTTGAAAAGCGGAGATGGGAACAGTGTCTCCGAGACTACTCCATCGCAAGGGTGATTTACACGGCTCTGGGTCAGAGAGCCAAGAAAGACGCTTTTCGGGACCTGCTCTCGGGGACTGTTGACCCAAGTCTCCGATACGCGGCTTATCAGATGAAGCTCCCCCGCTCCAAACCTACTTCATCGCTGGCCATTGAATTCTTCCCGTTGCATTCGGAGATTCGCGCGGAGGTCGAGAAGATCGATCCCTCTTGTCTCGCCGAGGAAGCAGCCGGTACTCGACGAACTGCAGAGGGAGAGGTGCAGGAATTGCCCCAATCTGTCACTTGGAGATCGAGAACTGTCCCACTGGATGATGCCTCAATTTCTCAATCCTTAGCTGCTGCTTCAGCCGCGGACGCTCGCCTCACTAGTTGGTTGGCAGATGCAGGCAAGTCCGTCGCTGCTAAGGAGAAAGCTGCTGCATATGACAACGTGATTATTGCCAGTCAGGATGCTGTCGACGCCACGAAATCTGCCATTGATGACCTGGCTAGCGAGGGTGTTGATCCCAGTGATAAGAGAATGCAGGCACTGCAAATCACTCGAACTGCAGTTAATTACACTTTGGTTGGCTGGCGAGTCGGCCGTAATCGGGTGTTGTGTGGAGAAAGGGACGGTTTGTCATTTGAGGAACAGCAACCCACAACGAGTGGAAAGGAAACTGCGAAGCACACCACAGGTAATGGCAAGAAATTGAACAAGCTCCGTGAGCGGGTCGTCCTGTATGATTCGACACTCCAGAGTTTGGAATTTATTCTCGAGCTTCCAGGTGTTGCGGCCGACTCGGCCTTTGTGCAGGATCTAGAGGCAAAGCGACACTACTTTCGTGCTCTCAGGTATGTTCTCACCGCGGTCCTCACTGATTCTCGCAACTAATCATATTTTCCTTTCTTTAGATGTCTTGCTTTAGGAAGATCCTATGGAGTGCTTTCAAAGTCAAAGGAGGCTCTGGCGCTGTTTTCCCAAGCCCTGAACCTTGCCGCCTCCGCTTCCTCCCAGTCAGCAACAGATGCTGAAGGTGTCCCAAAGCTCGACGTCTCCCGAGTGCAAGCCAGCACCTTGGAGTCAACTTTACGAGAACTGGTTGCTCGGTATCGTGGACTAGTTACTCTGGAGAAGGTGACTGCTGAAGAGGCGTCACAGTCGAGTCAACGGCCAGTGGTGGAACGACTGCAACAGTTCGCAGGATCTGGACTGGACCTCAATAACTTGGTGCCGTACCCACCTCAAATGCAACCCATTCCTGTCAAGCCCTTGTTCCTTGATGTGGCATGGAACTACATTGATTACCCGCGCGAAGGTGGTCAGCGACAGGAGGCTCCGACTCAAGCACAAGCTCAAGCCCAAGGTCCTGTGGAAGAAGAAACGAAAGGCCGTCGTGGATGGTTTGGTTTTGGCGGTCGTTGAAGCCCCTTACATAGATGCCATGCTACGAATACCGATTGATGTCTATATTGATGCCTACATGTCCGTTGTAGTACCTTTGAATGTGTACTCCGTATAATTCGGTGACGGCAAATTACGCGGAAGAGTTTAGCTCGTGCGTGTTTCTATAAAGCCGTCTTCATCGCCGCTTCAATTTCTAGCTGCCTTTCGCCCTTCTACTCTTTCTTTCTCTCCGTTCCTCATGTACGCCTCGTGAGTGAGGCACTTTTGCCATTAATCCGGAGGATCACCGAGCTCCGCTAACCCTTATATCGCCAGCGCGAACGGCCGGCCCTCTGTAGCCCTGCGAGCTCTCTAGCGCAGTCTATCGGTCAAAAAAGAGATATATTAGTTAGGGTATTTACCCTCGTGATCTAAGTCGTATATTCCATACAGAAGTTAAATAAGAGGGTTTCTGGCTAGCTCTCTAAGCCCCGACTAGGAAACCAAAGAAGTGATCTCGCGGATATCTTGAGACACAAATTCTTTGACTTCGTCGTTCATCGAACTCACTGCTAGACAGGAAAATTGTGTGCCACCCGTTGTTATCCTCCATAACCGGCTGTCCTGGTTGGAGACCATAGGATCGAGCAATCATTTGACCTTCGGAGTCGGCGCCTATCCACTCTTCCTGATAACGAGGACTTGATGGGTTCGAGGTCCAGCCAGGGGAACGCACTGGCAATCCTTAGCGATATGGCCAAAAACAAGAGGGAGTTAGCCTATATTTACTGGTGGCAAAGCGGTTTCCATAGGTGACTTGACCGGCGAGACCGCCACAGAAGGTGGAGTAGAGATTCTGGGGGGAGGCATCAATGGACAGAGTTTCAGGAGCCCACTTGTCAGGACTGTCAGTTGGTGAAGGGATATCGGGATTAAGGGCAGGTCTCATGTAATTATTAGTAGTTTCCAAGGTTCTGCCCAGGTACCAATCTGCACCCATTCGTTCATCTATTCCAGTAAGTCAATGTCCCAGTCTATAACGATACTACGATGCGAAAATCTGATTTAACTACTAGATAGGCACAGTGGAAATCCCGCTGCAGTTCATGAAATTGCTTTGACCGTTGTGTTCTTAAGTTTAAGTATATACTAATACTATGCAGTTAACTACCTATGTAAGTAAATCTCTTTAGGTATAAACCTTATTAAAGAGGATCCCCTCGTCCGCCCCAGACAATTAGCGTGGTTTTTTAAGTGCATACGATTAGGTGAAAAAGACCATTCTCCCTTCAAAAGCCACGCACAATGGTCTTTTCACACCTCGTCTTACATACTAGTACGACATGTACGTTGTAGTAGCAAGCACACGTGCATATACAAACCCTTACTTGACGTTTGACCAATCAACGTCGATCAAACTCTCGGGAATTCCCTAGCCGGGGTCACGTCGTGCTGAGTAATTGTGATATGGCTTCGCGCTCACTTGTTTGCATTTTAGGATATTTTAGTATAAAGTACTCCAGATATAAATTATATATAGAGGCTTTCCAGCATGTTTTTGCTAGGAATCTGAATGAGAACAAAATCAGCCTTGATACATGAACACTACCCTCACTAATATTAAGCCCGGAGATTAGTACTGAGCACGAACTATAGGCTAAAGCAGAGATTGTCCAAAGAATAACACGAAAGGGAATAATAGTAATAATCAGTAAGAAATTAGCCTAACAGAATCTACGGATTGAATATTAATTACGCCAACTCGAAACACAAATTATTTATGCATTGATATGGGCTAATGCTGGGCATCCCGCGGCCTCCGTGTAATTGGCGTTCCCGCCCCTGAGCCCCAGTCAATTCTTTCTCCCCTCTCTCCACTCGCTTTTTTCCCTTTTTGTTCAGGGTTCGGTCCTCCCTTCTCATTAGCAATTCCCCCTTCTCTTCAATCCTGCTCGGAACTTTGACCCCGTGGACTCCCTAAGATGGTCGACATGGCCAACCTCACCGGGAGCTTCGTCTCGCCATCGGCGGATGCGACGGTCTCGCCCCAACTTTTCGCGCCGGCCGGTCTCGTTGCCACAATATTGGATGGCTTCACTATCTGGAAGGGCCTGTTGACTTTCTTAGTTGCCGCCGTCATCTATGACCAGTGTGAGTGCGAATGCGACTTGGATGGCCTTTGAAATCGCATCTTGAAACTAATTCAGACCCCCCTATTTACAGTCAAGTACCACTACCTCAAGGGCGCAATTGTTGGCCCTATGTACAAGATCCCCTTTATGGGCCCGTTCCTCCAATCAGTCAACCCCAAATTCACCGAATACAAGGCCAAATGGGACAGCGGAGACCTCAGCTGTGTGTCTGTTTTCCACAAGTGAGAAGCCCCCAGATGTACTTATTTCCTTTGGGTCTGTTGTCTAACACTATTCTGCAAAGGTTCGTCGTCATTGCGTCGACTCGTGATATGTCCCGGAAAATTTTCAACTCGCCCACCTATGTCAAGCCCTGTGTGGTGGACGCCGCGCACAAGCTTCTCGGCAAGACCAACTGGGTCTTCTTGGACGGTAAGGCCCATGTGGATTACCGCAAGGGTCTGAACGGATTATTCACCCGCCAGGCTCTGGCCATGTACCTTCCCCGTGCTGAGGAGGTCTTCAACTCCTACAATCAGCACTTCCTCAAGAAGTCTGCCGCGACCAACTACACCCCGACCCCCTGGATGTCCGAGTTCCGCGAGCTCATGTGTGCTCTGTCTTGCCGTACCTTTGTCGGTTACTACATCACTGATGAGGGTGTCCAAAAAATTGCCGATGACTACTATCTGATCACTGCCGCCCTTGAGCTGGTTAACTTCCCTATCATCCTTCCCTACACTAAGACCTGGTACGGCAAGAAGGCCGCCGATATGGTGCTTATGGAGTTCACCAAGTGTGCTGCCAAGTCCAAGGCCCGCATGGCTGCCGGCGGCGAGATCTCTTGTATCATGGACGCCTGGGTTAAGGCCCAGCTGGATTCTGCCGCGTACCGCGAGAAGGTTGAGAAGGGAATCCAGGTCGATTCTTCAGAGAAGCCTAGCCAGGTTCTTCGTGAATTCTCCGACTATGAAATTGCCCAGACTATCTTCACGTTCCTGTTCGCTTCTCAAGATGCAACCAGTGCCGCCTCCACCTGGTTGTTCCAGCTGATGGCCGATCGCCCCGAGATCCTGGACAAGGTCCGTGAGGAGAACCTTAACATCCGTAACGGCGATCGCACTCTCCCTGCTACAATGGATATGCTCGACAACATGCCCTACACCCGCGCCGTCGTTAAGGAGACACTGCGTTACCGTCCCCCTGTCATCATGGTTCCCTACCTGGTCAAGAAAGATTTCCCTATCAGCGAGACTGTCACCGTCTCCAAGGGCTCAATGATCATTCCCTCCGTGTGGCCCGCGTGCCACGACGAGGAGGCTTACCCTAACGCCGATTCGTTCGATCCAGACCGCTGGATCACCGGTACCGCTGAGCAACAGACCAAGAACTGGCTGGTCTTCGGCACAGGTCCCCACTACTGTCTGGGTCAGACCTACGCTCAGCTTTCCCTGATGTCCATGATTGGAAAGGCCAGCATGGTGATGGACTGGGAGCACACCCCTACCCCCGAGTCGGAGGATATCAAGGTGTTTGCCACTATCTTCCCTCAGGTATGTTCACCCTTATTTTCCCTTGCGATGATCAATTGGCTAATATATTTCAGGACGATTGTCTTCTTACGTTCCGCCCCCGCGCTTAAATTCTCATTTCTTTTTGTATAAAACCCAAAGCGAAGCTGGAACCCAGCCCCATGTTCTGGACAGAGGAGGGTTTGGTTACGTCGACATGATGCCTTCCTGTCCTGGAGATGGGGTGGGCCGCTGACACTTTCTTCTTTCTCATTCGATTTCGATGCATGATGAACGCTCGGTACAGGAAAAGTCTTTAGCATATGTTTCTCTTTAGAGAGACCTTTCATACCCTTTCGCAAAGAAGCCCCGTTTGCGATTATGATTACCTATTGCCCGCGAGGGTCGCAAGGGGTTTCTTGTTTCTTTTCTTCAGAGTGACTACTCCTAGAGCCATGCATATTAGAACAATATTAATTCTCTTTTCCTGCTTGGATATTTATGACATGTTGAATAGCTATTCATACGATCGAACTAACTAGATATATATCTTACCCAGGTTGAGATACAGGCTAAAGCCCTTTCTTATTTAGCTCTTTACATATGTATTTTGTCTTTTCTCTAGGTTTTACTGGTTGATTTTGACAACTTTTACACTGTCATAAGAACTGATAATTGTTAAGGTTATTTGATATGGCCTTTTTCGGCCTACTAGAGGGGACTGACTCGTCTTTTCTATGTATGATACTAGTAGAATTCTCAATCAAAAGGTCTCATTTACTTGATATTCACTCCGATATATATCCGTGCTATCTCGGCAATATCTACACATGTAGTTACATGAAAGTCAAGTAAAATATATCTTAACTCTCAAGCACGATTTCTGTCTATAACATAATCAATCGAGTCATTCCCGTCAGTCAAAAGTCCCAATACTACCCAACAAAGCTTGTACAATACCTCGAGAACAGCCCATACTGAGCAAAAGCCCTAAACCAGTAGGCGGTCATGTGTGGCAGACACTGACATCACATCCCGCGGTTACGCCCGGAGGTGTGATAACTCCCGACTCACCTCCGCGGATCAAATCCAGAATTGAAACAATGGCATCGACGTTACCATCAAAGATCCAGCGATCTGCTATCGTGCTGTCCTCCGCCGCAGTGAGAATCCCGGCGCGCATTGCAGTATCACCAGCCGCGGCCTTGCACCGAGCTATCTCCGCACCAACAAGAGGACTGGTCACTTCTCCCCAGAACCGTGTCTTACGCAGCCACCTGGCACCATCATGCAGCCTCCAGACCAAGTCAAGCCCGAACACCAAGAGTCCGCGTCAAGTGCAGAGGCGGTGGGACAGCGATGAGGCCAGCCCAATCAAATTCAGGGAATGGGGTTTCGAAGAAGTATGTACTCCCCGGAGCAGTTAAGTCTTCAGTTATTCTTCCTCTATCCCCATTACTTTGAATTCCATTCTTCCTTTGAAACCGAATACCGCAATGATGTAGGCATAAAACATTGCTACACATCTAACAAAAACAAAATCTAGATCAACGCCGCCCTCCCAACCTCAACACCAATTTCCCCGTCCCACAAGCCCATAATCCTCATCGATGTGCGCGAGCCAGCCGAACTCAAAGGCACGGGTATTATCCCATCTGCGGTTTGCATTCCGCTGGCCTCGCAGGGCGATGCATTGTACCTCACGCCGGACGAATTCGAGACTCGGTTCGGGTTCGCTAAGCCTGATCCTGCGGAAAGCGAGGATGAGCCTGCGCAGATGGTCTTCTATTGTAAGGCTGGTGTGAGGGCTAAGGCGGCGGCGCAGATGGCTGTGCAGGCTGGGTATGACCCTGCTAATCTTGGGGTTTATATGGGTAGTTGGTTGGATTGGGAGGCGCATGGGGGGAAGGTTGAGAAGTGGGAGGGGGATGATTTTTGAGTTAGAGAAATTGAAATATACTCATTTGCTGAGTGCTTGATAGTTCTTTCTCGAGATGAAGGTGGTTACTGGGTGCGGTGGTGGGTGGTGAATCGAGAAAAGGATTGTAAATACTGCATAATGCTGGATAGGATTATTGAAGGGTAGATCATCTGGTCTACTCTGATATTCCGAAGCAAACGTTTGATTTAGTTTGCGCTGAAGAAAAGACCGATCTTAGCTTTAAAACTGGCCAAATTGCTGCTGTGCGTTAAAGACACAAAGATCAACTAGTGGGAGTTCGACATCTCTATTCACTAACACAATACTGGAATAGTATAAATTCAATTCACTATAACAGAAAGAAAGAAACTGGTATCGACCAGGCCTTGCTTTTCCTATATCATGTACAGGCGACTTCTTTCGCTGTTCATCCATCAAGTCATGGGTCATTCATTGTATGTTCAAATCGTAATCAAAATAGAATAACTTTTGCGCTTTTCCATAGCAATTGTCATAGCTCCGTAGATTTCGATTCGTTTCTTCCACATTGGCTATGATGGAACCGAAGTCCATGAGGGCCGACGGAGAACAAAGCTCGCCACTTACTGGCATTTGATCGTCAAGTTCGCCCGAGGATAGGTACCGCAAGGCTGGAATGGGTCCGCTGCTAACGATGCTTGATATGAAGACACCGCACACCGGAAGGAAGCCGTAAGACTAGATTCAAGGAATGTCGAACACTGGCTTGAGCTTCTTGACCAGAGCCCATTCCTCCATGGAGACCTCGGACCGGTAGAACTCCTTGAGGGTGTCGATACTTTTACGCGAGATGTGCGAGATAAGCTGGTCCTTCTCTTCGAGGTGACGACCATACATGGGCTGGTTGGGACCCTCGACCTTAACAGCAACGGAGGGCTGGCCCCTCTTGCAGACCGGAACAGGCTTGTGATCGCGCTCGATGGACGTGCTGTGGAAACGGTTGTGTTAGAAATCAGATAAAAATAGAACAAAGGAAAGGGGAGCAAAACTTACACTCTACCAATATCGACGATCTCCCTCACACCAGCGGCGTTGGTCCTGACAGCAGCCAGAGGAGTGTGGAGACGCAGGCTTCCTTCAATGACATCAACACCGATGACAATGGGGTCGGTCTTGTTGAAGACAGCGATGGGCTTGATGACGCAGGGGAAGATAGCAAGAAGCTTAGCCTCCTCCTTACGCTGCTCCGTAATCTGAGCCATGTGCGCAGTGAAGCTATCGAACAAGTGGTAAATGATGTCGGCGGTGAAGATCTTGACACCGATTTCGTTGGCATAGGCCATTGCCTCCTTATCGACCTTGACGTCGAAGCACAGCATGACAGCATGTTCCTTACTCTTCTCAAGCATGGTGCCGGCCATCATGACATCACGCCTGTAAACAGGACCGATGGAGATATTGGCAACAGGAATCTTGGAGACCTTGAGGAACTCCAGGAGAGCCTCCAGCGAGCCCAGGGTGGAGGCCTGCACAGTGACACCACGCTGATCAGTCGAGACACGGCTCAGCAGGTTCTCCAGATCGCTCATGACCTCCTCCTCGAGATCTTCCTCATCATCATCAGGGCCGACGACAAGCATGCGAGATCCAGCAATAGCGTGCTCCAGGTCGTTGGCAGCAATCTTCACACCAAGGGCGGCCTTGACCTCCTTGTTGTGAACATACTGGGACTTCAGACGCAGCTCCTTGAGCGGTGCTGGTGTCAGAAGAGCACGGATATTGGTTGTAATAGGACCGTTGAGACCGCACATAACGATGCGATCACCCTCGCGAAGGACACCGTTGGACAGAATAACGTCAATGGTGGTACCAAGACCCTCAATGACCTTGACCTCTAAAACTGTACACTCGACCTCGGACAAGTACATAAGCGCACTGGTCATACGATCTTGACTCAGGCTGGTCAGGAGCTTCAGCATGTCAGGCACACCTTCTCCGGTGTGGGCGGAGGTGGGAACGAGAGAGACGTTGCGAGACATAGACTTGTTCTCGAAGAACAGCTCGGAGTTGAAACCTTGCTCGGCGAAAGCAAGCTTGGTGGCCTCAAGACGAGTGCGGAATTCGTTTTGAACACCCTTGTTCTGCATAGCCAAACTATCTTCGAAGCCATTGTTGTCAATCTTCTTCCAGCCGTAGAGACGGTCGATCTTGTTCAATGCGACAATGAAAGGAGTCTTGCGGTCACGCAGCAAACGCATGGACTCGAGGGTCTGGGGCTCGAGACCGTGCATGATATCAACAACAAGGATAGCAATGTTGCAAAGGGAGGAACCTCTTGATCGCAAGTTGGAGAAGGACTCGTGACCGGGAGTATCGATGATCAATAGACCGGGAACCTTGAACTCGAACTTTCCATCCTTGTTGACAACTTGAGTTTTTGTGCGCAGAGCTTCGACAGGGAAGTAAGTGGCACCGATCTGCTGGGTAATACCACCTGCTTCGCCCTCCTGCACGTTGGTCTGTCGGATCTTGTCAAGCAGCTTGGTCTTACCAGTATCGACGTGACCAAGAATACAGCAGATAGGGGATCGAAGATCATCCTTTGAACGAGCCGCCATAGCCTCCTCGTGCTTTTGCTTTCTCCGCTCCGCAGCCTCGGCCTTCCTCGCCTGAATGGCCCTTTGGTTGGCGGATTGCTCTTCGTCAGATGAATCTTCATCGGATGACTCGTCGGAGTCGGATTCGGAAGCGGGTTCTTCTTCCTTCTCGTCCTTTTGGGCGGGTGCCTCCTCAGCGGGCTTCTCTTCCACATCAGATTCCGCATCCCAGCTGTCCTTGACATCTTCGTCGGCGGCTTGCTCCCAGTCTTCGATGGCATCCTCTTCGGCAGGAGCAGCAGCAGCGGCGGCAGCGGCCGCCGCCTCAGCCTTGGATTTCTCCTCGGCCTCCCTCTTTCGATCTTCAGCTTCGCGCTGAGCCTGGGCTCGAGCGGCGGCGGCTTCGAGATCTTCTTCCTGCTTCTTGCCAGCCCTCTTCTTCTTGTGCTCATATACAGGGCGCTGCTTCTTGTCGCCACCCTCCTCCAAACCAGCGACCTTGCCACCCGCGGCAAGCATCTGCTGCATGCGCAATTCATTGCGCTCCTTGGCCTCTCGTTGAGCCTTGGTAAGCAGCTTGCCTTCTTTGCGTAGCTGCTCCTTCTTTTCGCGCTCTTTCTCCTTCTTGCGCTCGCGAGCCTCTGCACGCTTTTTCTCTTCCTCCTCATCGAGGAGCTTCTGCTTGGCGGCGGCAGCCCTCTCTTCCGCTGCAATGCGCTCCTCCTCCTCACGTTGCTGTCGAAGAAGCTCCTGTTGCTTCTGGAGAGCTGCTAGATGGGGAGGAAGTTTCTTCTTTTTGCCGGTCTCTGGGGCGGGTGCAGCGGGGGCGACTTCATCCTTCTTCGCCTCAGCGGTGGCAGTCTTCTTGGCTTCGGCCTTTTCTTGAGCAGGGGTGAGCTTCTTTTTTGTGGCAGCCTATAGACGAGAAAAAGACACGTTAGTAAAGATTTCCCACCCGGCACGAATCTCCAGCATGAAGAGAAATGTAAAAACCTACCTGCTCCTTCTTACGCTGCTTCTCCTTCTCCTTCTTCTCACGCTCTTTCTCCTTTTTGCTCTTTACTCGGAACTCGCCCTCGGGTTGCGGTTCCGCCGCAGGCTTAGCCACCTCCTTGATGGGCTTGGTCTTCTTTCCAGCGAAAACATCGTCTTCATCGAAGTTACCCTCCTCGGGCTGCTTGCTCGCCAAATCATCGGCGTCCGCACCCTCGGCGTCCTCACCCTCGACAAAATCGTTGACCTTGCCCTTCTTAGCCTTCTTGGCCTTGTTCTTTCTCAAAGCAGCCATGAGGCCACCGACCGGCGCAGCGTCCTCGTTGGCATCTTCTTGGGGCTGCTCATCGGCGGGAGCAGCAGTGGGAGCTGACTCGCCGAGATCGGCCTCCCAGTCCTCCTCCTGTCTCTTGTTGCCCTTCTTCTTAGGCGCCATTGCGATAGATTTCTATTGGGGGTTTTGTTGATGATCCGATTGGAGTCGTGACCGGAGAAATGGCGGCGCACAAACGGAGTTAACCGGTTATTTGCGACTCGTAGTAATACGCACACGTATTAAAAGGGAGAGGATGACAGAAGTCAAAAAAAGGACAATCCCCAGAATTCAAGGCGAGAGATAGAGCTCTCTGTAAGGTGGGCCTAAGGAGGGGTGTGGGAAGGAAAAAGAATTTCGGGAAGAATCATGGCCAGTGGGGAATGGCATCGGACTTCACTCTAATCGCCACAACTACCGACCTTGGAACTAGGTGAATATTCCCCATATATTGTCAAGGACCCCTTTTTTTCCAGGGTATCTTATATCGAATATGTGCTAATCTACCATAATACGAACTTCAAACATTACTGCTGACATTTTAATCTGACTATTGCATAGATACACTCTCACAAGTTGACTCAAACCTCCATGGCTATGTACTTCGTACTTCGTAGCTTCGTCCTCCACACTTCGCCACCCCGGTTACATCCCCTTGAAATTTTAGATCTCAATGTGCAGTATGTTCCGAAGCCAGCTGAAGACAGCCCGGGTATGGTTGTCATAAACCCCAAGCGCGTCCTGAACTGCCTCGAAGAACATATGCACTGTATCGGGGGTCAGGTCCTTGAACTGGCTCTTGTTGCATGCCATGAGAACCTCATCCAGGTATTTCGAGTCGCGACTGGCAAGGCGAGCCAGGATGTTGCCGTCGATATGCTTGCTGTTCTCGACCTGGGAGATTGCATCGAGGTAGCGATGTCTGCGGGCCAGGGAGGGACAGATGGCCTCGTCCCTAAGGCAGATGTTGAGCAGAAGTCGAAGCAGCCGCCACTCCTTCGCATCAAGGCACAAGAGCCTGTAGACCGATCCATTGATGCCAAAACCATAGAAGGTCTTGGTGGTCTTCAGCGAAGCTGGAGGCCTGCAGCCCCGAGTGAGCTTGATCAACGAAACGGGGAGATTGGCCGTCGGACGAGGCACAAGGTCGCCTGGTTGATCCAGGTATGTGAAAGCCCGGATAGCTCCACCTCGGGTACTCACAAGAAGGAGATCCGATCGAAACCCATACCCCTCCGATAAATTGTGAGACAGACCATCGCGTGCAATTGGGTCGGAGCCGTGTATCACGATGTCCCCATTTACAATCTTGTAAACCAGCAGAGAATGTCTCGAGCTGGTGACGTAGATCAGCCCTCCTTGCACCGTTATCGCGACAGCTGGAGATGGGAGAACAGCAGTAATGTTTCGAACCCATTTTGTGTGAGAGTTCCGTGAGGAGACTGTGAAGAACTTTTTCCCAGAGACAATAATCAAGCTATCGCCGTATGCCGTCATGGCATAAACTGGGTCATTAAACCATTGCGTGTGCTTGTCAATGCAAGTGATCTTCCCAGGGTCGTTGGCATTCCGAGATGCTTGTATGAGCATCAATCGACCTTGGCGGGTAGTGGGTTGGTGAGGCAAACTGATTGAAGTCCCAATTGCGATAAGATGATATGCATTGCCATCCTTGTATGGCATCCAGTCAAGAATGCATGTGATTTTCTCACCAGCAACTCCATGTGGTCTCCAGGGGAGGAGGCCTTGAGTAACCAGGTCCATATCAGTAGAGACCAATGGCGACTGTGTGTCTGGGTCCACAAACTCGACACATGCGGTGCGGGAAAGATCGAGAGGCATTGCTTGGTTTCCGACCTGGGCGACAGAATATGAAACAATAAGACACCGGAGATGATCGGAGTAGGTGAGCTTGCTTGGATTTCCGGGAATGTCGATGCGTCGGGGAACGACCTTTGCTTCTTGGTCCAGAGAGCATACCAGAAGCTGACCGTCTGCGAAACAAAACATGTATGTAGTTGTAATCCCAGACAGTTGATCTCTTACGTCGACAAGGTCGAAGCCGCTGAATCTGATAGGGAAGTATGCGGGCTGGCATGAATGTTAGGCCATATCTCAAAAGGACAGGGTGTGATATAGCTAACGCAGTTTTGATCTGTAATCCAAACACGAGACAGGAAGTAGTCAAAGCCATTGCCATCTGGGGCATATGACACACGCCAGAAATCATCTCCGCATGTAAAGAATGCAAATGTATTGTGGGCCTTGATGTTGATTGAGGTTTGCCCAAGATGGTGTGGCGCTCTTTGCTTCAAACCTGAAGAGAAAGTGTCTGGTTAATGAAGGCGACCAATATTTTGAACCAAATATGACTCACATTTGAAACCGAAGACAGGGTCACCGTGAGCATCAACAGTGTCTGTATCTATCTCAAACGGAACAAACATGCCACTGCGCAGCCCACAGAAAAGGAAGGCGTGAATTCTATCGCCTGAGAGAGTCTTGATAACAGCAAGGCTTTCAATAGCTTTTGACATATCTTGTGCAGTGTCGGCAACTGAAATATGAGTGTCGGCGTGTTGTCTGATTCCGCCAGTCTCGTTGTAAACCTCGAATGATAGCACTGTGCCGTCGCTGGTGCCCAGGAAAATTGATCCAACTCCCCCCCAATGTTGGTAGGAGATACAGATGGGCTCTTTTTGGAGCGGATATGGAGCCTCATGATCAGATAGGGAGGCCCCGCCTCCTTCAGTCATGACTATCCGAAGAAGATGGAGAAAGTTCCCCTTTTCACTTCTTGTAGTCATAATGACAGTGGAACTTGGTCCATCCACGATAGCTGCTGTGACAAATACAAGGGGATCGTGTTGAATACAGCTGCTGAGATAGAAAGCAGTAGGGAAGAAAAAGTGCACAGCTCTTTCTGTGACCCGAACAATAACACCGGAAGGTGTACAGTCCATTGCCAAAGTCTGTTGAGCGTCCAATTCTGTATCGTTCTCAAGGGCAGTAATGCCATCTCTCATGTCGGGAGTTGTATGAAGAAGCAGAGATGAAAGAGGACCGGAGGCCAGCAGGTAGATTGAATCCTTAGTACCAAGTGACACAGCCCACATACCACGTATGCTGGAAAATCCATCCAACGCGGCCGAGACTCCAATCTGAGCCTCAACGCCATATCGAATTTCGGTAATAGCTCCATTGCCTGAAGCAGACGTTGAGCAGACAAAGAGCCGATCGTGATCATATGGAGTATCTTTGAGGAGGCCTAAGGTGTTTGAAGGAATAACAGCTGCATCGGGAACTGGTGCCCAGTTGAGGAATCGCTGAACACATCTGGGGTGATCTCGTGCCTCCTGGACAAACAACCCACCATCACCCTGGCTTCCAGCAGCGAGAATGAAGTCACCACCTTCATGGCCCATATCAAGAATATCGAATGCCGTATCAACATCGCAGTGGAGTTGACCCAAGGAAGTCTGAGTTTCGAGTTCACCATCGTTGCCGAACTCGAGATAATAGATCCAGCCTTTTTCTTGACAAAGGAAGATTCCATCGTACCTCTGACTGTACATCCAGTTTCGCGAAGGTCTGGCCCAGCGAGTCCACAGTCCAGCTTCTGATGATTCGGCATCGGGAATGATCGGCGGGTATCGCATCGGACGAGAAGAGCAATTTGGTGTGTACATTGCCATGGAATTCGTGGTGATCAGGAGGTAGGAGGATTCTTTGGCTAAAGGGATGACCATGCTAGGCAACTGGTCTTGGTGAGGCAGACAAGTTGAGGTGATTTTGGGACTCACGCGGCTGATCGTGCTGGCTCCGTCCCATTCAAACATCATAGACCGTGTTGTGCCAAGCTTATGGACGATAAGCAGTAGAATGGTCCGTTTGTCATTGATGTCCTTCGGGTACAGGAATTCCATAAACAAGATATCGCCATCAACTTGGAAGAAATTTTCCTGTTCAAAGACTGTTAATATCAGGCATATGATAAGTGAAACAATAGTGAGCACATACACTTTCAAGTGGGTTCAGCTTGCCCTGAGCCATCTGCATCTGGAGTTCACCGGGGGATTTCAACCACAAGACACCGAAGAAATTACGCGACGCGCTGACTGCGACTGCACGCGATCTTGATCAGGGTGTAAGCTTTCATCAATCAAATTGAGTTAGTGATAGGTGATACTTACTTAGGATCGACAGCTATATGCTTGCCATACTTGTCGGCTAGGTTGACATCGCGGGGCAGAGGCCGATTGTAGGAAACAAATGGGCCATTTCCCAGTTCTGAGCAGTACATGAAAAGGAGCTCATTTGAGTCCGTAGCCAGAAAAAGGATTTGAGGAGGAACTTCGTTTTTGTCGTAAGAAGCCATCAAACTTGATCGAGCTGGACTTTCCCAAGGCATCTGGGTGCTTACATTGATGACTTTTGCCCCGATAAGCGAGCCCTCGAGGTCTGACTTTTCGACAACATCTTGAAGATGACCACCGGGCAGGGCTTCCTTGATTTGAATTCGCCGCTCCCCAATGAAAACCACATCGTTGTGGTCTTTATCTCGAAGACGTGCTGGAAGGATCCAGTTGATGACAGGGCTGGGGATCAATGGCTGGGTAAGCAGTCCATGCAGATGCGTCGGACGCGTCACGGGCTGGTTTCCAGACATTGTAATTGGGTGGTTTCACAAGAAACCGAAACCAGATTGGAGCAAACGGAAATGATCGTGAGGCCAAAGATGGACAGCGGGGTAAACAGATGCGAAGAAACTTGAAGAGAGACAGACGAAAGATGGAAATAGAAGATGGAAGGTGAATTGTACGTGAATGAGTTGGAAGGGAAGTAGGCGATAGGCAATATCAAAAGCCGGTCAGGCAATGGCCTGAGGCGCAACAAGCCCCAAGATCTGTTTGAATTGCACCACACTTCCTATGAATTTCTGTATTCAAGAGGGCAATGGCATTTGAGATTTGCAATATCCACTTGACTTCAAAGAGTTTGAATATCTGATTCATGCATTGCCGGCCAAGTGCAATACTAGCTGTGAATTGATAGCCGATACGCAGCCAGAGCTCGGAGAGAGTACAGGCAGTTGCCAATGATTTCACAACCAAGTATGTCCCAGACAAGCCCTGTGATATCTCTATTAATCAATGCACCCCACATATAGGGAACCAATATCAATGTGAGACTTACAGCTTGCCCGGACACCATACAAAAGTAGCAGCTCTTGAAGATGTGCAAATATCTGCCACAAGCTCCATTGGCCAAGCTCCACGAAGCAGGTCTTTGCCACAGCACTAGCACTGTTAGTGACAGACGCCTTGGAGAGCACAATCCCGGAGTTATGCAATCAACTCCCGTCGGCAAGCTGTCGCAACCCCAGAAACTGTGGACTTCTAAGGGCGCACAACACAGTACACAGCTATATGTGCCCAATACCTTGTAATGAATACCACAAAGCTATGAAACCGGAGCGTTGTGCCTAGGCCTGGCACAGGCGAGTGTTGTTATCGGCGAAAACATGTCGCGGCTGCCGATCGCTGCCTAAGGCCGTCAAGTGGGACTCCGCCGCCTTCGACTTCAGACTTTCCATGCTTGGGTATATGTGCCTAGAGGTTCATCAGTCCACGTTCAGAGAGACTTCAATCGCTAAAGGGAAAGCCATTCTCTCACATAACTGGTATTGAATTGTTGTTTTGGACACGTTGTTCCGTTGTCCGGTGAAAAGTTGCACTCGATCTATATCCGATCAGTCTCTCGATATTGTTGAGCTAAATTCAGGACCACGACGTGAATCTTGTTCATTCAGATCGAGAAAGAAACTGAGCGATCACTTTGCTCTTTTCTTTGTGTATATGGTCTCCTTGATTTCTTGGGAAGGCGACATCTAGCGAATAAAGGATGGAAGATACCGGAAAAGTACAGAATCATTCCAGCCCCGAGGACACATCTGCATCTGATGAATCTTCAAAGAATTCAAAAGTGAATGAAGAGGCAAAACAGATGGCGCGATCAAAAAAGGCGAGAGCCATCCGAAAAGCGTGTGCGGCGCGCGATGTGGAAGCCTTAGCTGTGCACGCAACTTCAGAAGGCGGGTTACTTGAAGATGACTTGAGACAGATAGCCTGTGAGTTATTATGGTCCAACGAAGATAGGCTCAACTAACCAGTGGATAGGGCCTATTTTGTTACGTTGTGACGAGCAAATACGACAATTTAACACATTGGTCCCAAGTTCTGCACTTTCCCGGCATCCCGATGAGGAACAGGTAAAACTCGACGTCAACCGGTCTTTTGTCTACTACCCAAAAGGTATGTATGCTATTAGAAGTCTCTGAGTTTGGATGTTAATAGACTCTAGCTCCCGAGGAGGAAATGTTGAAAAAGAAACAGCAGCTATCCAACCTGATCACTCAGGTACTAAGGGAATATCCCATGCTTTGTTATTTCCAAGGGTATCACGACATAGTTCAAGTTCTTCTTCTGGTACTGGGCGAGAAGCAAGCCGTACCAGCAGTGGCACAGATATCTCTTTTCCGCATACGTGACTACATGCTTCCATCACTATCTCCAGCGGTGAAACACCTTCATCTCATCCCTGCAATTATCGAAACGACAGACCCCGAGCTAAGACGACACCTTGGCAACATTGAACCATTCTTCGCTCTCGCAGCTACACTGACACTATACTCCCATGACATTCAAGAGTATAGCAACATTTCACGACTTTTCGACTTTCTGTTAGCTCGGGAACCCGTTGTTGCAATCTACCTCTTCGCATCAATGATCCTGTCTAGGAAAAAGGAGTTGCTGGAAATTCCACCGGATGAGCCCGAGATGCTTCATTTTACGCTTTCTAAGCTGCCATGCCCACTTGACCTGGATGGACACATTCTGCATGCGGCACGGCTCTTTGAGGACCACCCGCCAGAATCTTTGCCGCTTGGAGCCTGGAAACGTATTCCATGGTGTAGCGTGCTGAAAACTTCACGAGACCCACATGGCAAGTACACCACAGAAGACGCGATGTGCTTGTTTGAAAAGCAATCCCAACAGATTCGGACCGAAGAGCGCAGGAAACGAGCTCTGGATTTCTTGTGGAGCCACCGTCGCTCCGTGGGCTCTGTGGCGTTGGCTATCTTGGTTGGAGCTGCATCTTTCTATATCCGCAAAAAGGGACTCGACACTTCGGTTTGGTCTTACGTTAGCCGAATTCAAAAGGTAATCCAAAACTGGATTTAATCTTCAAGTCAATGTGCCCTAAGGTAACACGGATACTTGGTGCTATTACATGTGTATGATAATGAGAAAAATGACAGAACCAAAACGAAATCCCCATGTCTGAGGATCACAACTTACAGATTCAGATATAATTAAAAAAATCCAGTCAATTTATAGCATTTAATGTGTTCGATACTCGTGTATGACACCTGGGTAGTGGTACCCACAGTTGTGGCTTGAGCGGTGGCTTCATCTGCGGGAGCTGATGTGTACACTTAACAACTCCCCTTCCAACAGCTTACTTCAAAACCAACCACAATGGCGAACCGAGGCTACGATGTCGTAGTAGATGTGGATGCAGAGGTAAGAACACTCTAATGAACAATACATCATTTCGTCTAACAAGTCAACAGGGCGACCTTGGCCATACCGACCTGCAAGAAGACCTAGAATTCCACCCCTCCAGTGAGTTCCTCCAACCAAACCGGTCGAGCCCAGCTCTCTAACCAAGTAATCCTACCGCCCAGACTTCGAAAATGACCAGAGAACCGCCAAAGTCCAAGGCGACTCCGCCCCGTTCCTGGGCGGCGGGTCATCGCGCCGCCGTGACCGGTCTCCTGGCGGTACGCCGACCAAGCACAGCTGGTGGTCGCTGCACTACTACGAGCGATTCTTCGACGTCGACACGAATGAGGTCTTCCGCCGCTGTGTGGCGACGGTATACCCACGCACCAACTTCCTCGATGTGCTAGAGGGTAACGCAGACCTGTACGGGCCGATCTGGATCGCGACTACGGTGGTGGTTATCCTATTTTTGACGGGCACTATCTCGCAATGGCTGTCGAACAATCACGACGAGCACTTCGAGTACGACTTCAGGTTGCTCTCGGGTGCGGCTGGTCTGGTCTATGGGTACACCGGCATCTTGCCAATTGCCCTGTGGGGTGCGCTGCGTTGGTTCGGCAGCTCGACGGCTGACCTTATCGAGTGCTGGGCTCTGTATGGGTACTCCAATTTGGTCTGGATTGCCGTTGCTCTGGTCAGCTGGAGTCCGTTGACTGCGCTTAACTGGGCGCTTGTTGGCGTTGGCTTTGCTTGGAGTGTCTTCTTCCTTCTGCGGAACTTGTATCCGGTCTTGAATGCTACTGATGCCAAGGCTAGCAAGATCCTGTTGATCTTGGTAGTTGTGCTACATGCGGCACTGGCTATTGCTATCAAGGTGCTTTTCTTTGCGTAAGCTGTGTCCTTGTCTGACAGACGAATTGACCTTCAACTGACTTATCTACTAGCCACGGGAGCCCCGTCTCAAAGAAGAACAAGGACAAGGATCACGATGATGACAAGGACGACAAGAAAGGAATGATGTTCCGGGTATAAACGGGGAGGATGGACTATTGGCCTTCAGCTGGAATACTGGCCATTCCGCCGATTCTTGCTCAGGTAGCAGGCTTCGCAGCTGGAGTTTGAATGTTTCTAGTCGTTTTATTGAACGCATGCATGTATTGTACTTTGTATTTATCGCAGACGGAATTTGGAGGCGTGAAACAATTCGACTTTTTTGAATTTTACACATTTCATTTCATGGAGTGCAACTTGGTCGTCGAGAGGAGCCAACTAGAAAAAGTATGACTGTGGCTGCATTGATTTTATCATCATATCTAACGCCATTTGTAATCCTCTCCATGTAGCAGTCCAGCCAATCCCCATTTCTGGAATCTGCACCACAGCACGCCGAGCACAAGACCGAGGAGCGAGTCGTCTATTTGAGCTTCTTCTTGGGGCGGAGCTGGTTGGTGTGTCCGCACTTCTTCTTGCGGCAGTTGGTAGCACGGGGAGGGAGACGAGCCTGTATAAGGTCCGAGTTAGTACATTTGTTGATGTAATTGATGGCCTTGCCACGAAAGGCGGTTTGATGACGGGTATCGGGCGCTGGCGGAGAAGGTGGGATAAACGTACGTAGCACTTGCGGCAGATGGCCTTCTCGCAGTTGAACTTGGAGGCAAGGGCCTTGAGGGAAGGCTCAATGATACCACCACGGAGACGCAGGACAAGGTGAAGGGTGGACTCCTGTAATGAGTTGACATCGCATGTTAGCGAATATTCCACCGTTTCGCAGACCAGAGACCATAAGTGAAGCAATGATTCCTCCTCTTGCGTATCCGTGGACAGAGTTATTCTTTGGACAAAGAACATATTCAAGATCCGATCCACCTGAGATACCATAATTGCCCCCCCACTTTCGGTCCAAATCACATAAGTTGAAGTCCGGTTCCTACCTTCTGGATGTTGTAGTCGCTCAGGGTGCGGCCATCCTCGAGCTGCTTGCCGGCGAAGATCAGACGCTGTTGGTCAGGGGGGATGCCCTCCTTGTCCTGGATCTTGGTCTTGACGTTGTCGATGGTGTCGCTCGACTCGACATCGAGGGTAATGGTCTTACCCGTCAGGGTCTTGACGAAACTATATCGCACCGTATTAGTCCACATTCATTTCTCCTTCACGGGCTTGGGTCGTATCGAGGATCGGGTTTGTGGTTCGCGGTGACATTTGAGGGTTCAGAAAGACCTACATCTGCACTGAGACGGCGCGGAAAAAGACGATGTTAGTTCACTGAATCCATAGCTATGCATAGACGCTGTTGCACGAGGTGTATGGGACGTACTGGTTGCGAGTTTTCGTTGTTGTCGGCTGTCGGTCGCTGTGTTCCAGGCGGAGCTGTCGATTGTCAATTTGAGGATTTCGCTCGCTTAGCAAAGGTGGACCGATCGGGGTACCCTAAGCCCTAGTTGTTAGCCGTTTTAGTTATACATTATGTAAGCAATCCCCGCCGCCCGGGCGACCCAGCCAATGATAACTTGGCAGTCCATCTGTCTACGTCAGGTATACTCCGTAGTAGCCATGGAGATGTTCTACTAAAAATAAATGAAGCGTGTTTTCTACTTTCAATTATTTCCTGCTCAAACACAACAAATCAGTTGGATCGTCAGCTCAGCCGGAAACATCAACACCCCAAGAAAAAACAATAATAATTCATATCAACCCTAGGGATTCAAATGATTGAACTAGAGATAAAAGGTTGTACAATGGTGAACGCCAGATACATGATCCCAAAGCCCCAACGCCATGCATACGTATGATACAACAGACTTTCCCGACCTCTACAGAGTCGACCACATCTTCGAATTGGACATAAAATCATCGCCGTCCATATCTTCGGACTCCGCGTCGTACATGTCCTCCTCAAAGTCAGCTATTCCATACGTGTGATCAACATCGCTTTCGTCGGTGTCCATTCCTTCCGTTCCCAAACTAGCAAAGTACTCCCTGTTCTGTCGCTCTTCATCTCGCTGTGCGATCTTAAACTCAACAAATGTGACAGCACGGACAAGTGTTTTCAATGGGACTGCAGCGAGCTGGGCTGCGATCTCGTAAAACGTCCGTGCGGGGCCACTGAGATGTGATTCCCATCGATACCGGTGATACCACTCGCCGGGACGTCTGTGATCGTCCTCTTCGTCGTCAGGGATGACCCTTCTGGTTCTAAGGGCTTGCATGACTGTTTGTAGCAAAAGGTTGAGCTTTTGCTCAGTCGTCTCAGCCGTCTCATGAGGAGCAGGAGCACCAGGAGCACCAGGAACAACAGGAACAGGAGCAGGAGCAGAAGTAGAGGATGATTCCGGAGCAGCACCCGAGATTGGTCGGATATCTTGTTCTGCCCGGCTGATGGGAAACATTTCGGCAATGCGACTGGGTTCCTTAGAAGTATCCAGCCAACTGCTTTCGTACCAATCCATGTAATCATCTAATTGGGCAGACGTCATGTTCAACACGTCTTGGTCTGTGATCTGAATGGCAGTCTTTTTCCCAATACTCCCCCCAAATGGCTGATCATAATCGAAATTATTCTGGGCTTGTGCCCAGAGGGCCCAGTCCATGACCTGTGCAGCGGGCTCTTTAGCTGTAGTGGGATACCTTTTCAAACCATCGAATGGGAAAAGTAGTTTCGTAGAAATGATAATAAGCACCATCAATTGCAAGTCGGGAAGAAGTTGTGCTGTTTTTCGGCCATCGAATGAACTTATTGTCGGATACTGGAATGTGATGTCTAGTAAACCTTGCAAGATCCTAGTAGCATCGTATATCTCAACTAAAACTCGTTAGCTAAGATATACTAGACAACCTCGCGGCGACTCTTTCTCATACTTGGTAAAGCCAGTCTCTTGATGTGCCGGAAAAGAATCATGGGGGTATTCAATGGAGGAAGGTCTAATTCAAATCGGCGCTGATAGAACAGCACTATTGCCAGGACGCCGCGGTGGAACCGCTCGGCATTAGGTATTGTCTTTGTCAAAATTAGCCAAGGGTGACCTAGTAAGAATTTCTGGAGTCAGACTACACTCACATTGACTTCAAGGATCATGGTCAGTTCTGGCGGAAGCCTATCCCTCATATCCCGAGGGATGGTTGCCAGGACTCGGGCGTAGGGGATCTCCTGCCGCATTATCATACTATGGAATGTGAGTATTGCTCATCATAGAAGCAAACGGCCGGGCTTGCACAGAGAAAACAATATACGTACTTGTGAAAATCACTGACGCAGACAGGAAGCCGCATCAAAAACGCTGCGAGATAACACAGTGCAACAGAATCGATCAGACGAGGCCATTCCAGGTACCTCGAATTTGGTTTGAATCCATCACGAGACTCATCTGTTCCTGCGGGTTGTGAGCTGAACAGCTCAGATTCGGTATCATCATCGTCCTCTTCAGTGGAATCGGTGATTCTGGATTCAAAATCTTGCAGACGAAGAGCCCAGAGATCGCGAACAACAATCTAATGTACAGTGAGATTTTATCCTTGAACACATGAAGCATCATATGCACATACCTCAAGTTCTTCTGGGAAACCGTGTTCGTGAACCAATGCATGACATTGTTTCCAAAGGATAAGCTGGTAAATTTGCAAGAAAAGCGTATAGGCTGGACGGCCACGAAGTGCTTTAACGAAAGTCAGCGAAGAGAACGATGTTCGAACAGCCAATTACATACTTCTGCTGGCCTTCTCCCTGGTTTCTCTCTTCAGGCGATGTGTTTTGCCTAGGTTTCCAAAATCGTCGGCATCTTCTGCAACTTGAACACCCTGCGCATGATAGCCTACATTAGCTGTCTATTTCTTGACATTTGACGATGTGATAGGATAAGGTTAGGAAAGCCGATGGACGTCATACCTCCTGCAAATGACCGCGTCGACAATACCAAAGTCCATTGTCGAGATAGTATCGGGTCTCACGGCAACCTTCTTGACCGCAAATCCCTCGGGTAACGTAGTCCATCCCCAAGGGATTTGTTCATGCTTGTTTGACAAAGAAGGGTTGATATCCCGAGCGGGGACTTTTTTTCTGCCTCCCAGTGACCGCCGATTTTTCGCTCCACATGTCCCGCAATGCACTGTGATTGAGCCGTCGACTATCTCAGACGATTAAATTGTAAGTTTTCATGTACATATGTATTTTGGCTTTAATAGCCAATTTGTTTTCTGGGGTTACACTTGTGTATATATTTTGTACGACCGTCGACTTACCGTGGACGTCTTACGTGGAAGTGATATATACTACTTACTTAAAGAAATCGACGATAAAGATACTATTCTTCCTGAGTATTTAACACTTAGATAATGAACTTGATAATAAAGAGGTATACATTCTATTAATAACACTTTGGATGAGCGAGACTTGATTCATAGCTCATTCGGAAAACAGACAATTTGGTTCCTGTGAGGCCCGAGTACATATCTGGATCACATTGTGTCTGTCCCGTTAAGTTAAGCTGTAAGCGTATCGCGGGGATATTGGAACAACATTCCTCCGGTGGGTCCTTGATGGATCTAATTGTTGAGGTCGATTGGATCATGCTGGACATTGAAGGTGGTCTTGAATGTCAAGTTAATTTTTGGCAGCAACAGTTCCGTGACAGTTGTCCAGTCAAGTAGATACTGCGCAAACTATGCTAGCACAATGGCCAGGGCCACACCTGCGGTAGAATGCTGCGAAAGGTATCTCTCCAGGGAGTGAACCGCGTCTTCATCATCATAAGGTTGTACGGTGCTTATTCCACTACCAGATAGGCGATGTACCTTGGTGCAAAATAGATATGCCCAAGGGGCGGCCAAAACAGTGAGTCCCTGAGCTTGAAAAACAGTTGCATGCTGTTCAAGAGCCTCTATTGCGAGAATACGCCGTATGTGAAAAGGAATGAAGAGGACGGTATGATGATTGAGCCATTCCTGCTCGAGGGTGCGGCTCTTCTTGAATGCTGACTTGGTAGCCTTCGAGAGGCACTTGAGCTCAGCCGGGGCAAGATTGCCGTTAATAAAATCAAAATCATGCGTGAAGGGGCGACTTTGGAGTAAAATTGTGTTGATTGTGCCACCAACGACAATTAGAATGATCTCTTGATGCTTCGAGGCAAAAGTATGCTGCGACAATCCGTAGCCCATCCATGAGGGCTGCTCGGGAGAGATTCGGAGGGCTACTCGGGGTTCGACGATAGATGTTCGGCGTTGGACGAGGGGCAAGGCTCCGCAGGGCGTGAGCGTCGTCGTAGACTAGACAATGGCTGACCCATCTTGCTCGAAGTTGAAGCTCTGAGTATGGCATTGTCAAGATGAGAAGCATTGTTTTGACTTGTGGATCCAATCACTAGTATTTACTCGAATCAATTTGGCAGGAGCAGCAGCATTCAGCCCAGGCAGCGTCCTCCTCCATAACCGCCACAATATACCCGTAGACATTACATGATTACACACATTGAGCGAAACGCCACTGTGAAGACCTACCTATTCAATTGTAGACACCAGCTATATTCTCGCGAGTGACCAAGACTTGAATGGTGAGGCAGTGAAGCCACAGATCCAAAGTTTTGGCTACCAGTGGCTTGGCTGGCGGAACCACATCGATATGATCCAACGGTGGCGCCAAGCCTATTTTGAATGCCACCTTGACACCTCTCACATCGTCAATCCCAAACAGGCCACTGTGTCACTCGCTCGCTCCTGACTATCGATGAATTCCTGGATCTCGACTCTCCAATCATGTCCAGCCTCAACGAACTCCTTCATCGACAGCGATCAGGACCATGGCAAAAGTTCCGGGCCCAGCCTTGTGTCTTCCTCGCACGAAAGCTTTACAGTTGGCATGAACCTATTCCAGCTACACCACTCACACGTCCCGTTGCGATTGTCTGTATCTCCGACACTCATAACGCCCAGATCAGCGTTCCAGATGGAGATATCCTGATCCATGCCGGTGATCTCACACAATCCGGATCTTTTCAGGAACTCCAGAACGCGCTCGCCTGGCTCCGCGCCCTGCCTCATCCTATCAAAATCGTTATTGCGGGTAATCATGAGCTACTTCTTGACTCAGCACTGGATGACTCGTCAGGTCGAGCAGCCTCTGAGCGAGCTCGGCTCGACTGGGGGGATATCATCTACCTGGAAAATGAGGAAGCAACAATTTCCTGTCCGAATGGTCGTCAGTTAAGAGTCTATGGAAGCCCTAATTCTACACGCCACGGGAACTGGGCCTTTCAATACCCCGGAGACCAAGATGTATGGACCGGCTCAGTACCGGATGGAATAGATGTGCTTATTACTCATGGTCCGCCACTTGCTCATCTTGACCTACTAAAGTTGGGCTGTCCTCATCTACTACAGACGCTCTGGAGAGTTCGACCGAGACTACATGTATTTGGCCATATACATGAGGGTTCAGGAACCGACTGGATGGTGTTCAATAGACTCCAGGATGCGTACGAGCGCACTGTTGCCGCTGGAGGGGGCTTAAGAAATTTTTTATTCACAGCGTGGGAATTGGCCAAGGCATGTCTCCGCCCGACCGTGGAAGCAAAATGCTTACTCGTGAACCCATCCATCGTTGGGGGTTTGCGGGATAATGAACGAAGGCAGCCCATCAAAGTCTTTATTTAATGTTGCAATCTTGCTGACCGAGGCTGCTCTCCTTGAGGCCCATTTGACGTACAAAATTTCTATTTACGGCGTTTTCAGCTCAAAAGATACCAAAAGCATTAGGGGGACTCGCGACTCCACCAATCACCTATGGTCTTATTAGCGTATTTTGCTAGATGTCAAGTTCTTTTTAGGGGGGAGGGAAGAATCACCTTCAAAGGCATACTAGACAAGGAAAAGGAATATCTCTCGGTAGCCTTGCAATGCTGAGACAACTTCTCCAAGTCAAACGCCTGTCCAATAGGAGTCCCCCATCCAGCCAAAACCCATTCATGAAGATTGAAATTCGGGTCTGCATGGCTTCCTCGAATCGGTGCACGTTCGAAGCAGGGCGCATGCCCGCCGACAGTTACCCGAAGAATATTCTCATTGTTCCTGGCGATCTCGAGAAGGTTGTCTGGATTGACTTCGATGTTGCGATTGTTTATCCTAACGACGCATACATTGGAAAGAAGGAACTCGGCCGCATTGAGTTTAAAACTGAAGTTATTGAAAGTCTCGGATGGCTGCAGGCAACTCATTGCTTCCTTTTCCAAATTCGATAGAAGCTGACAAACTTTACGGGAAGAAGATCAGAAAAAGGGTCTCCCGCCAAACACAAAGTACTACTAGGAACGAATCCTTGGCCTGCGCGCAGACATACAGAGAACGACCACATTATGGAAGTCGCCAGTCATTATCTGCTGCACCCGACATTCCAAGGTACCAAAGGCCCTATAATGCGACATTTTATAGTAGACAGCAGACCCTACCGTACTAAGTTGATCGACACTTACAGGCACTTTATCTAGCGTTAATATAGCGACCATTTCTCGTTCAATTTTATACGGCTATTAAAGATATAGACGATGATATTGATAACATATAGGATGACGAGACTTCTATAGAGACGGAATAGTGATATAGCACGTCGGGAAGGACGTTTTTCTTTCGAGCGGGGAACCTGTTACCCTCTGAGCCCGTGAGCTTCCAGGTCACACATGCCCTTTCTGTCCTTTTAGTCTCTCTAGCTAGTCGGAATACAGACACATTCTTCCCCTTCCAGCTTTTGTGCTCAAGTCTACGTTATAATTTACTAGAACCCTCGGATGGTCAAGCAAGATTGAGTATTTATTCATTCATCACACTATCATGAGATGCTGAGACTCAGAACTGTTCGGACAACACGTATCATGCCAACCAAAGCAATTCTCGGTCCAGCCCACGTCCAAGGTTATGTGGGGGACAGATTTTGAAGCAACGGGGCATAATCGTTCAAAGAATCGTATCCTCCTTTGAACCATGAAAGATAAATTTTTGGCGGGCTTTGAGCCCTCGTGGAACATAAAGTTGGCATAACAGGTAATAAATCCAGGTATTAAATTTAAGCCTTGGGAGCCTCCTTGCACTCCATGGCGGCCTCCTCGCCCATGGCAGTCAGGACGACGATGTCTAATGGCACCTTATCAGTAATAACTCCCTAAGAAGTTTGGATATCGCAACTTACTGCACTCCTTCTCCTCGACAGAGAACATCTGGTTGATCTTCTCACCAACCTCGTTGTCGGGGACCTTGACATCGTCCTTGGTGTCACCGCTGTCGGTCATAAGGGACATGAAGCCATCCTCGGTGATGTCGAGCTAATACTTGTCAACCAAACAATCCAAACAACAAGTCATCAAGGGAACTCACGAGCTGGTACTCCTTGCGGATCACGTGGGGAACGTCCATGTTGTGGGTGGAGGGGGAGAGATCCTCAAGCTTCTTGCCGGTGAAGATATCGGTGGCAACCAAGTGAACCTTGGCGTGACCGTGCTTTCCAGTCTTGGAGGTAGACATGTCAATGATCTTGCAAGGGCGGTTCTTGATCACAACGTGGCCGTTCTTGCGCAGAGCAGAGCACTGCATGGGGTAGGTCTGCGAGGCTCCGGCATCAGCCGACTCGAAAGTGACATCGTGCTATATTAAAATCACGTTAGCAGACGCTTCAAAATTCGACAATAGGGCGGGGTTAAGAGTCCAACATGGCCTCGTGCCCTCGAGAAGAGAAGAGGGGGAGCCGCATGCGGGGCTAGGACAGAAATCCTGCAAGACAGCCATTGGGGGATCTCGAATTTGTGAGAGAAAAATACATACCTCCTCGGCGGACATGGTGAATAGATTTAGAGGGGGTGAAAGAGGGGGAGGTTTTCAAAGAATTTGGGGAGGGGAAAAATGAAGAAAAGAGGAGGGAGAAAATCAAGACTAAAATCTATCGTGGGCGGCGACGCTGGCGGGGTCGCTTACTGGACGGTGATTGGTCATGGAGGGTTGTCCACCTTGTTGGGTTTAGTGTAGAGTGTCCTGAACCTAGCAACTAGCAACGTTACTACTATCGAGGGTTATTGAGGGTTACTAGATCTCTCGTTTATTTCTTTGGATTCCCATGCCGTCCATCCCTCTACAAAATGTGGCGCGACCGCATTTCAGTCCAGTCAACTCCCTCCGGAGCCAATAGCCGCAACCTTTCTCCTTTACCACGACGGTCATCCTCCCAGCTATCTCCAAGTCCCTACAATAGCCGCGCAGGTGTAACATCTAGAACTTCATCAACATCTCTTCTTGCGACTCCCAACGACTCTACAACATCTCTTCCAGGAACTGCACGGGGAATAAGTGGCTCTCCTTTAAAGCAGACGAGTATCCAACGACCCCGACCAGCCAATATCCCCGATCCGCTGGAAGTCTTGAATGAAATCATTGGAAAGGAAAACCAAACAGATAAGCATGTGCCGCAGCTATCGTCGGTGCCGGAACGACCAGGGCAATTGGTGGAAGCCATCCGTTTCGATGGGCTGAGCCTCGAAGAGTTTCTGGAAAGGGAGGATCCAGCGCCAAGGAAAAAGACCCGCGAAAGTGATGTAAATGCCCAAACTGTTCAGCAATTTGAACAAGAACGAGATAAGTTTCAAGAATTACACACGTCCATTACTGGATGTGATGATGTGTCGAAGTCAGTTGAGCTGTACTTGAATGACTTCCAGAATGAACTGGGTGCCGTGTCGGCGGAGATCGAAACTTTGCAATCTCGCTCAACGCAGTTAAACGCGATGCTAGAAAATAGGCGCAATGTGGAACGGTTGCTGGGACCTGCCGTTGAGGAGATCAGCATCTCCCCCAAGGCTGTGCGGACAATTGTCGAGGGCCCAATCGATGAGAACTGGGTGCGTGCACTGAATGAGATCGATTCTCGAACAGCGAACATCGAAGCCAAGGCCGCCGCTTCCTCCAACGGCTATAAAGCTGTCGAAGATGTACGACCCCTTTTGGCCGACGTGAAAACCAAAGTGAGTATGCTGGACTCCTCAAATTGTCTAGACCTGCATTGACATGTATGCAGGCTGTCCAAAGGATCAGAGACTATCTTGTGTCACAAATTCGTGCCATGCGATCGCCAAACATCAATTCTCAGATTATCCAACAACAGCGACTAGTGAAGTTTAAAGATCTATACAGTTATCTCTCGAAGGTCCACCCAAAGCTGGCAGGAGAAATATCACAGGCGTACATTAACACAATGCGCTGGTATTACACATCTCATTTCACACGCTACCTTCAAGCACTCGATAAAGTCAAGGTCTATCCTCCTGACCGAAACGAGGTGCTTGGAGGCGAACCATCCACACATCGATCAGGTAAGAGCCATGTCTCTCTGATGCAACGTATATACTGATTATTTCAGGGAACATGGTGCCTGGCGGCCGAGCTGGCTCAGCCGTGCATGACCCTTTCTCCCTGGGTAGACGTATTGATGTCCTCCGAACTGGCAATCTCCAGGCTTTATCCTCATACCTGGCCGAAGAGGATAATACCTACCATGGAATCGAAGTTCCGTTCCGAAACTTCAACCTTGCATTGGTGGACAATGTGTGCGCTGAGTACTCTTTCCTGACTGAGTTTTTCTCCTCGAAGACCTTCCATCAAATCTCTCGCAATGCTGTGGAAATATTCCAGCAGGTCTTTACCCTTGGCCAGAACCAGACCAAGAAGTTAATCGAGCATACCACGGATTCTCTGGGTGTCCTCATGTGTGTTCGCCTCAACCAACATTCGGCATTCGAGCTTCAGCGCCGAAAGGTGCCCGTCGCCGACTCGTACGTTAATGGAACTAACATGCAGCTCTGGCCGCGCTTCCAGGTGATTATGGATCACCACGGCGACTCGCTCAAGCGAGTTGGGTCAAACACTGGGCGCAGTGCCGTTTCCGCCCTTTCGATTGCAGGCGGAGACGACCTGAAGCAGTCTTCAGCGCCCCACTTTTTGACCCAGCGCTTTGGACAGCTTCTTCATGGAATCCTTGTGCTCAGCAGCGATGCTGGTGATGATGAGCCGGTGTCCAACAGTCTGGCCCGGTTGACAGCTGAGTTCGATTCTCTTTTGGCAAAATTGAGTCGCAACGGCACAGACGCAAAGCGAAGAGAACGATTCCTCTTCAACAATTATTCATTGATTTTAACCATCATTAGCGTATGTTGCTGTCTCTGTGCTTGGCGAACACGCGCTAATCGGAAACAGGATACCCAAGGCAAATTAGCAGTTGAGCAGAAGCAGGTAAGCATTTGAGTTGTCTCTATCAGAGATCGTATGGCTAACTAGCTTGCAGCATTTGGAAGAGATGCTCAAGAATAGCACGAGCACCAAGCGGTAGAAGTCGATTGCATACACCGGACTGATGCATATTCCATGTGGAATAACAACATAATGCATCTAGATATCCTTTCACTTATACAGATCTTAATAAACTTGTATACTTATCCAGGCACCTGCAGTACTCTTGTGATGTAGCCTCCGAAAATTATCTGAAGACGTAGAAAGAGGAAGATATTCTAGAAAGATGTATCTCAAAGATACCGAGGTTGCCTCTCCATCGGATGGTTCGAATGGCGTGTTTGAGCTTCATCTTATCGTTGTTCCCGAGCAGATATTCTGTTGGTAACTTGGAAATGGGTAGAGTTTCACTTGGAAATGGGTAGAGTTTCCTACTTCTGGGAAGGGACATGATACGGGCTTATCCATGAATATGCTTGTATATTACAAAGATACAATATCATCCATCCCCAAGAGATTCCTCACAACAAGCCAGCAGAATCATCATGTGATCGATCCTCACTCATCTTCTCAACTAGGCAACCTTCCATGACTCACAAAGTGTCGAATTTCAACATTGGAAGCCCCGATCGTCTCCTACGTCTGCTACTTGCCTGATTGTTTAAATTTTGAAAACCAAACCTTCTAGATCGCCGTCTGCCACGGACACGAGATGGCAACCACCACAAGCGTCCCTGTGACCATTCCAAAAGATGGCTCACTGACCAAGGCCACGATCAAAGATATCATCGGCACGTTCCTCACCAACGAGTGGCCAAATATTGATCCGGAAAAGCTCATTGTGACACGCAATACTGGATACGCAAACACAAACTGTGTAGTGGAACGACCGAAGCCAAAGGGCGGCGCACATTCAGAGCCGCTCAAGGTGTTCCTCAAGATCCACGGCGAACTTGATGGAGATATCGAGGTGTTCAAGCACTTGGTTCCCAATAAGCTCGAAGAGGCACAACTATGCCATGACTACGCCCAATCAGGTCTTGGTGCGAAGGTGTATGGTTTCTTCCAGACGCAGGACGGCAGTTTCGGAAGGGTCGATGAGTTCTTAGATGCACGCACTTTGGAACGGGCAGATGTGGAAGACGAAAATATTCGAGCTGGGGTTGCTAGAGAAAATGCTGCTTTTCATACCATGTCGACGCAACGGAAGAAGAATTCCGTTCAGTCATATTACGATACAGTCACCGGAGAGCTTGCGAAATACCATAGAATGGATAAGCTAAAGAAACTAGCCAACGAAGGGGGCGTTAATATGGACCATCTTGTTGATTATGACTTCGTGTCCAGAATAAGACGAGTCACAGACAAGCTGGAATCCATCGGAGGGAAAAAAGGATGGTGCATCCATGATGTGCAATTCATGAATACGATGGTGAAGAACAGCCCCAAGCAGGGAGAAAGCAAGATTGTCCTTGTCGATTTCGAATTCGTCTTTCAAAATTACCGAGCGTTTGACATCGGTGGGCACTTTTTGCAAAAGATGTTTCAGTGGTTTGACGAAGAGAGCAAGATTGCCAACTGCCGACCTTACACGGAAGAAGAGAAGAGGCACTTTTGCGAGGAATACGCAAAGCAATGGAATGAAAAGACTGGGGACTCGGATACCTGGGAACAGGTTTTTATGGAATCTGAGCTGGGGTTCATGCTGGCTATCACGTTTGAAATCCATAACATGCTCTGTTTCATGGATCAGGACGATGATAAGGACCCGTTGAACATCTTGGGGCTTAACAAGCTGTTTGAAGAGTTTGTCAATCAGTATAAAAAGCTTGAACTTGGGAGCTAAGTGCATTTCGGTTAATGTAGTGTCCTAACGCATCCTTAACTGTTCATTCTGGTACAGAAGACCAATTGAGGAAAACTCGTACCCCGTGCTTTACATTAAGCACTTCACTGGGATAAACTTCAAACTCTTTTCCGAGTTTCGGATATTGGAAGCTCACCGGCGACACGACCTCGATTTAAGTAGCGTCCAGCATTAAGAATCACCGCAGCCTGCTTCGAGTAAATCGAGTACAGAGTAGAGTCCGTCGATTTCGCGAACCACAAACAGAGAAGACAGTCAACGCAATTCAGCCAATAGCGAGGCCCAAAAACACATTGATAACGTACTGTAGAATTCGTCAGCCCATCCAGGTCCAGGTCCCAACCAAACCGATCAGGCCATTTCCCAAGCAAAAGCACCCCCCTCAATCCGGGGTAAAATCCAGTAGCACAAAGCCCCAAGAACGTGGCTGCATATCCGGTGTGACGCATAGCAACTCTCTACATACACTCCTCAAGACCCAATAGCCGATAACACGGTATGCCAATAATTCGCCAATTGAACCCGGAAGCACACAGCCCATCTGCAGTATCCTAGGCCATTTCCCGCTCTTGCCGCAGCGGTCAAAAAGTGTCCAGCACATGTGTCTGGACGGGTCGATTTGGACGCCTCATTTGACAGATCTGAGACAGCCCCCGGATTCAAAATTAAGCTATCAGTTGTATCCCGAGTCCGCGTGATCTGGTTTTGACTCTTCTGGTTTGGGAATTGCTTCTTGCAGCTTGGCGGGTGCCGCGGGGAAGGGAGCGGTGAGACAGTTGGGTTCTGTGAGACTGGGACTTTCTTTTCGGCTTCGTTTCGCCTTTTCCGAGGGGCTTGGTCAGCTGTTGGGAATAGACTTTTGTCTTTTCGGGTTTAGTATATCTGTGGGATACGCTGACTGCGTATACCGTGGAAGTGCTTCAGGTAGGATTTTGGCTAGATGGTGAATGAGGAGGCCATTCGCAGGATGTTCACATCCGTTGGAGTCATTGAAGGTGATAGTGGTAATAAGAATGACAATTGAAGAGCAATCAAGATCTACAGATCCATGTCTGCTCAAACCCAGGTTGAACCCCTGCACTGAGCTCCGCGGGGTTCTCCCGATTCGACCTCACTTGGCGCAAACGTAAACGCAAACCCCACGAGGATTCAGAAGAGTTGAAGAGGTGAGAAATCACATAGATAGCGATGCCCCATATCAGTGGAGTCGAATGCAAGCACAAAAATGACGCCGATCTCGACCCACATGGAATTGCAAGTGAGACTGCTCTGTATAGATCGTCAGAAGGAGGCGTTTGAGCATCGCATGGGGCGGTTTGATGAGACATTTTGAGAGAAGCTTGCCCCTCTTTCCAAAGCTATTTATATTGCTTTGATCATCTTGCTTCCCCCTCTTTTCATTCCAAAAGATTTTGGTATCTGACCTTTCCCTTCTCTTTCCTCCACGCACATCCCACCTTCAATCATGACCATCTCCATCCCCAAGACCATGCGTGCTCTGCAGTACTCAGAGCCCAAGAAGCACAAGATCGTTGAGGTCCCTGTGCCTGAGCTCCGCGAGAACGATGTCTTGGTATGAAGCCGTCCATCAGTTTCCAGGGAAAGCAGACTGACCAAACCCCCATCAGATCAAGGTCAAGGCCTGTGGTGTTTGTGGCACCGACCTGCACATCCACGAGGGTGAATTCATTGCAAAGGTATTGTCTTCGCACCATGTCAAGCACTAATCGTGCATTGGCGTGCTGACCAGTCCATAGTTCCCTTTAATCCCCGGCCACGAGACCGTCGGCGTGGTCGCAGCCATTGGGCCCAAGGTCAAAGACTTCAAGATCGGCGAGCGCGTCGTCGCCGACAACTCCGAGCTCTGCGGAACCTGCTTCTACTGTCGTCGTGGCGACGAGCTGTTCTGCGAGCACTTCGAGGCCCACGGTGTGACAATGAACGGCGGTTTTGCCGAATACTGCGCTTACCCTGGTAAGTAGAGCATATCAAAAGCGTACGGGTCCCTCGAGTCTGATTTCGGATTTTCCTTTCAGCTGGCAGAGTCTTCAAGATCAAGAACCTTTCCGACGTTGATGCGACCCTCCTCGAGCCGGCCTCTTGCGCCGCCCACGGTCTGGACAAGATCGCCCCGAAGATGGGCTCGTCCGTGCTGATCTTCGGTGCTGGTCCTACCGGTCTGGTGTTGGCTCAGATGTTGCGCCAGAACGGTGGTTGCAATGTTGTTGTTGTTGCTCCTGGGGGTCTGAAGATGGACTTGGCTCAGAAACTTGGTGCTGGTGATAAGTACGTTGAGCTGTCGCGCGAGAGTCCCCAGGCTCAATTCGATGCTCTCAAGGCTGAGAACCCGTATGGATTTGACATTGTTGTTGAGGCTACTGGTAGCCAGAAGATTCTTGAGGACTCAATTAACTATGTTCGTCGTGGTGGTAAGCTGGTGGTGTACGGCGTGTACTCGAGTGAGGTTCGGGTCTCGTGGTCACCGGCCAAGATCTGTAAGTGTTCTTGCTGCTTTCTCTTGACTTCTTTGCTGATTTTCTTCCAGTCGGCGATGAAATCACTATCCTTGGCAGTTTCTCCGAGACCTACAAGTTCCCTGCTGCTGTTGACTACCTTGACTCTGGCAAGGTAAAGGTGGATGGCATCGTGAACAAAGTGTACAAGATTGAGCAGTGGGAGGAATGTCTTGAGGCGATGCGCAACAAGACCGCTATCAAGGCTGCCATCACCTTCGATTAGAGGATATCACTGTGAATTGCATCATACAAAGTACATTTTAGAGGTTAATAGAATTGACTCTCTTCCTGGGACTATGGGGCATCTTGACTTTATATGTACTTGAAAGTGGGGACCTTGATAGACTGAGGTACTTTTGAGATTAATAATTTTATTCTCAAAAATGATCGGCAACGGTATATTGAGGTTTATGCTAAAAAATATGAGACTAGATCCAAATAGAGGGAAGTCGTCTCCCCAGAACGGCGTACTTCGTCATTCCAGCCAAGCCCCGGAGCTCGCTCTCCCCACCCTACGCAAACTCTCCACCCAAGCTCCAACAACCATCACCAACTCATTCCTCAAACCACAATGGTCAAACCTTTAACATTCAAAGGCGACAAGCCAAAGAAACGCAAGATCCGCACCACAGACAATGAAACCCCAACTCCAAAATCGCGCAAAACCGACCCCGAACCGGAGGACAACCCAGAAGACCAAAGCTGGGTGTCCGCCGACTCCCCAAGCGACATCGCCGGCCCAGTAGTCCTAGTCCTACCCTCAGACGACCCAACCTGCGTCGCCAGCGACGCTAATGGCCAAGTCTTCGCCAGCAAGCTCGAGAACCTCGTCGAGGGAGACCCAGCCACGGCAGAACCGCACGATGTGCGACAGGTCTGGGTTGCGTCGCGGGTGGCGGGAACGGAGTCGTTTAGTTTCAAGGGACATCATGGGAAGTGAGTAGATCGAGACTTGCGTTTTATTGCAGATCCATATCCCCAATTCCTATTCCCATTCTTTTTTCCCTTTCGTCAACCCAATCAAAACTAACAAACCCTCTTCACAGATACCTCTCCTCAGACACACATGGCCTCTTTTCGGCAACCGCCTCAGCAGTCAGCCACTACGAATCCTTCCTAGCAATCCCTTCACCCGAAGTCTCGGGAACATTCTCTCTCCAAACGCACGGCGGCGACGGGGAGTCTTTCCTGTCCATAAAAGATAACGCCAAAGCTGCTTCCGGCGTTGAGATCCGCGGAGACGCGAATACGATTTCGTTTGAGACGACAGTGCGCGTGCGCATGCAAGCCAGGTTTAAGCCGAAGTTGCGGGCGTCTAAGGAGAGTAAGGCATATGAGAAGATTAGTAAGAAAGAGCTTGAGGGGATTGTTAGGAGGGGCTTGAATGAGGATGAGGTTAGGAGGTTGAGGAAGGGCAGAAGGGAGGGGAATTTTCATGAGGTTTTGCTGGATGTTAAGGTTAGTGGGAAACATGATAAGTGGGCTTGAGGTCTTGAGGTGAGTTTTTCTTGTTCCTTTCCCCCCGGTTTTTGGAGAGCTGGTGCTGAAGCGTCGGTTATGTTCAGGACACTCGGTTTTTACAACCCACTATGTATGGAGGCTTGTACTAGTCGAAATAAAAGTTTATTAGTATGTATATAACGTAGCCAGTGAATTAATCCTAGATCCTTCTGCCTCTTCTACTTAAGTATGATTTATTTATTTACGTGAAAGTCACCCAGTCTTATTCAATTCAATCAAATCTAGATAGAAATATTATTAAATGGCGCAATTTTTATTAATAGGTAAAAAAGATTTCTAGTAATCTTACTAACTTAACTACCTACAATGAGGGTTCGTTCGTTTGTCTGGAGAAACAATGTATGAGTGTGGATTGCTAACAGAAGAGTCGAAAAGAGAGAAAGAGAGAAATCCACATCATATGTATCTAGATTCGCCGCCCATGAGTGTCTGTCTGTCTGTCTGATAACTACCTAGTTATTGATTGACGCCTGAAATCTTTTTCGAAAAAAAAGAGAAAGCCCGACGCAAGGCTTGAACTTGCAACCTCGTGATTATCACCGCCTTCCTTTGTCGGGAAGACGAGCTTCTGAATAGAAGTCACGCGCGCTGCCAATTGCGCCAGCCGGGCTTCTGTTGTTAGAGTTGAGGAGACTCTTTCCCACATAGTAAGAGCAATGTTGTGAACGGGTTACTCTCTAAAGAAAGAGTACTCAATTCAAAATACTAAAGATGGGGAAAAAGGAGAGAGCAATATCTGGATGAGCTCTGAGAGAGCTAATATACCAACTATCTACGCAGGCAACAAGCCACCGACCTCCTCGCTAAACAAAGCAAATAAAGAACAAAGAACGCAGGGAAAGCAAACTAGGAAACGACCTGGCATGTGATCTGGCATGTGATCACTAGATCGTGACAAACGGTTAGACTTGAGTTTCCATGACTATCGCTTATCGTGTACGAAGGTTTATAACAGCTAAGCTTCGCATTAATCCCAAGCTAAATATACCTAAATATATCTGAAGTTGTAGCGACTCCAAATGCAAATCAGGATGAGCTACGGATTCGCCACCAGCAGCTTATCGATTGCAGCCAAGTAAGGATCATCTTCTTGTGTGGACCACGAGCAGAAAGGGCTATTCGGGTACCTTCCCTTCGGCGATTCACCCTCAAATTTCGGGGCTTTCAATACCCGATGTATCTGATGGACAATCCGAAGCGAATTTTAATTAGTTGTCCACCTGTTCCGTGTGGAATTTGGTCTAGGATTGGTGCTGAAAGCACTCAGATCAGCGAATGTCTTCGATTCGGTATCACCTTACTAGGCCTACAGAAAGAAGACCTTGGTCCCTATTCTCTTGAGACCACTAGCCTTATTGGAACCATCCTTAGCCACGCAAGGAATGAGAGGCTCGGTCGGGAAAAGCTGACACTGAAGACCGTCGACACACCCAGTTTACTCTGGCTCCAGCGTAAAGGCTTGACGAGGCAGGCGTTAGAGCGGATCGAGAAACCCGCCGGATCTCTCACATGAGGGCTCTTAATGATCCTTAATTCGCTACCTCGGAACAAGACCTATTCATCCTTCAAGAGACCAATGGACCCTGAGGAGCGAGCAAGGCGGAAACGAGTGAAATCTTGTGAGCCGTTCGACAAGGATGCATTTCGGGAAGTCAAAAAGATCGTCCAAGACCCTATCACCGAGAAAGAGGAATTATACACGACAGCCCTACAAAGTCTTCCCCCTGAGAAGCCCCTAGAGGGAGACCAAAATCCAGAGATGAATAGAATTATGCATCCCGGACCAGCCGTCACCATGGAGAAAGTCCGCCAGATTGTTTCTAACGAAATTTCGGGACCAAGTGCCTTAGAGCCCCTATCATCATCAGATCCCTCTCCGGATCAAGATTCAGAGCTTGAGAATTGCCACATTTTGGAGCTAGAGCCCTTTTGCAAAAGGGCAGTTGATTTGGGTCTTTTAGATCTAAGGCTTAAAAGGGCGAGGCAAGATAGACCCAGTTTAAAGGACTTTACTGGCGGCAGGAGGTGGGAATATTCCGTGACAAAGAGTATGTCTACCAAATGGGTCCACAGCAGACCAACCGTCGTCAACTGCTGTCATATCGGTTTTAAGAAGGACGAGGACGTCAGAGATGGCATGGTTTGGGTGAAAATTGAAGTGAATCCACCTGGTCAGCGGCATGCAGAGTGCTATGCTACTAAAACATTAGACTCGGATCCCGCGAGCCGACTAGCTTTTCGCGTGAGGTACAAGAATTCTCGAGGGGAACAGCAAGAGATATATGCCCATACGCAAGGACGTAAATCTCTCTACGCCGCCAACACTCTTGTCGACGACGATAGACCAAACGAGATGATTGCTAAGACCTTGCGACGATACCTCTATTTCACTTTAGAGAGCAAATTCCCCGAAGAGTTGAAACGATTTATTGGAAGTGCCTATACAGCAGACATTTGAAGGCTTCAATGTTCTTAGCAAAATGGACTTCATTCTACGTTCACATATTCCCCTTCAACTTGCAAGTAGTTCTCTAAGCTAGAGTGTAGTATACTATAGTCGTAGCCTACAGGATACGCTATAACCGATATGGAAACTGAAACCTGGAGCATTCAAGCCATCTACATAGTTATTCATCTATCAAAGAGCGTTTGCATCTCATTCTAGACAATGTACAGCGAAGAAAGTGAAGTACAAGACATAATGAATGACACGAACCTCCCTACGAGGCTGTATGAACCCCATTTTATATTCTCTGTCTTAACCGTAAGCTTCAGACTCTCCCAATCTGTATAAACTTGTATATGTTAAGAAATTATCAATGGGATACAAAAAGAAAAGAAAAGCACGAGAGAATCTCAAATCAACTGAACTTCAATTAACACAAACAACGCACACATCCATTTGTAGATAGAGATAGTTCTGATTATGGAAGACATAATTCGTCACGCAGAAACAGATCTATAGCGAGGAGGCGGTAACGACAGAATGGGGGAATGTGTCCAGTAGAGCAGCAAGCCCTGGGTATGAATTCTAACAACAGTAGTACAGGAGAACAAGACCACCTCGACACCCCAAGCAAAAGCGAGGAACGAGGCACAAAAAAAAAGGTATGATAGACCAGAGATCCGGGGAACATAACATAAAGAAAAGACGGCAACCGCGTCCACATTTCGGCGAAAGCATTCTTTGAGGAAAAGGAAAAAGAGAGATAAAAGACGAGAGAGATAAACGAGGCAATATCTGGGCTAAAAAAGAGGAAATAGCAAGGCTGGTCAAATCTAGGTTCATAAGGAGTCTTTCACCGCGGGGATAAGCCCAGAACATGGGACGGGACGCAGATAACCAGTTGGGGGCAGAGGCAGACGATTGTACAGAGATAGGTAAGGAGGAGCGGAGGCGTTGAAGAGAGGGAAAGGAAAGGAAAGAAAAGGAAGTAAGGAAAGGAAAGGGTCCTAAGAGTTGAGCGATAGGCCTTGGAACCGGTTGATCCATTCGCCCTGCGCTGGGTGCACGCGGGAAGGATTATTGGGGGCACTGATGTTGCTGGGATATTCGAATGAATCTGCAGGACCAAAGGTGGATGACTGTGGGGCAAAGACATCCGAATGAGCAGGCCCTTCTGAGTGACGGGATAGCTGAGAAAAGGGCTGGTAGGACTCTCCGTAGGATGTGCGAAGCATGCCCACGGGGTTTGGCATCTCTCGGCCTGTGTCGACAGCATCTCGCGCTCCGCCATAGGATCTATTTTCAAGTTGGTGGCGCCGGTCTGCTTCCTGGCCATAAAGGGGGTTGGGCATGGTGCCAGGACCTGACAGGCCAGGAGTAGGGGGTGTGACAAACGAGGCCGGATTGATAGCTGACATCCAGATGCGAGTCTTGTAGATCTTGAATAGGTCGGTCACCAGCGAGTTGAAGTTGATGTACGAATCGGCAAAGTAGTAGAATGTGAGCTTTTTCCAATCCCTGCATAACAATTAGTTCAACCATCGCGGGTGGCAATCGAAATCACGTAGACTTACATTTGGAACTCGGCATCGAGGATCTCCATATTGAGCCGATGCTCGACTACTTTCTGCTGGCAGACCCGCTTGGCTTTGGCTTCATTTCCTTCCTTATCGTGCAAAGTCAGGACCTCATGTTGCTGTGCCAACCGTTTGATGAGCTTAGGTTTGATGTCTGTGGCGGGTTCCTGTGCGTTATGAGGACCGTGGGGACCCATGCCACCTGTGGCACTTCGAGTGTTCAAGCCCGTGTTGGGGTTGGTTAGGGTGGAACCCTCAGGCTGGCCGTGTCTAGAGAAAATCATGAGGGTCTTGTAGTGCTCTTCCGCGTAATGCTGCTTTAACTCCCGTGCCTGTTGGAGCGATATGTTTGCATGAATCACGGTGCCCAGATCTGTTCCCCGATCCGCCTCCACAATGACCAGATCACCATTTTTCACCTGAAGACCTGTATCTTCTTGGATGTAGAAAACGTCTGCGCGGCTGCATTTAAAGGCGACAATGTACAAAAGCTGATTTTGATGAGCATGGGACAATGCGGATGGCTGACGACCATATGCATTCGACATCGCATATTGGCTGAGAGATAGCGGGATACCCGAGGAGCCGTCTCCACGCAAGGTCTGCTCACGGGAGTAGTAAGGTTCTGCAGAAGTTAGTTTGGGGTGATAACAAAAGGATCTAGCAAGTAAATTGACTTACGGTTGGAATAGTCACCAAGGTTACCATAGCCATCATCACGGTCTCCTATAGTTGCGCGAGGGGTAGCAGTCGCGTGTGAGTCCGCAGGACCGATTGAGCCATGACGCATCGGAATCTCGGCGAAAGAGTGTCTGCGACTTTGAGGTATGTCAGGCATGCCACCGAAGCCTAGGGACGTTTGCCAATGAGCCTTTCGGACATTGTCTAGAGCACGATTCTCCAGCGGGGAGGTGAAGGACGAGAATTGCGCTTCCGGGTGCGCCAAATGCTCAGAGAAGCGGCGACGAGAATTGCCACGCAAGTTGTTGTATCCGGTAATATCGCGTAGTTCCCTTGGGTCCTCTCCAGCCAAATCTCCTTCGAGAACACCACCTCGGATGCGATGCAGTGAATGACCACCTCCGATTGATGCAGCTGATCCAGCTCGCTCACGATATCTGTTATCCATTTGACCTGCCGCAGCTGCTTGCCGTAGGAGTGCGTTCTCGCGCGCCAGCTGCTCGATCTGCCGAGCCTGACTCGCCGAATAGCTCCTGTCGCTTTCCGACCCGTTGAGACTATCGTCACCATCGTCATCCTCGCGGACTCGACCGAGCATTGCAGTGTCGTGTCCTAATTCACCGAGCATACTAGGACGTGATGCTCGAGGCTGAACAGCAGACATTTGACCTGGACCACGGGAGCGACTTCCTGGGTATTGCGCACCGGCAGTAGGAGCCACACTGGCCTTGCTCGCAGCGAGGCTGAGGAACTCTGGATCCATCTGACCAACAGAGTATGACTGAGAGCGATAGGTTTTGAGAGTTGGTTGTAACGGGATAGAGAATGGGATGGCGGATTCACCGGAGATGGTACGGGTGATTGGGCTCAACATTTCGTCTGACATATTGCCGCCCGAAGGAGGTGGGTTGGTCATGGTCGGAGAGGGTACCATTTCTGCCAAGCGAGAAGGCGGTTCCTTGCGTGATTCACTGTTCCAGATTCCTGTACCTGTGCCCCAGGAAAAAGCACTTCCTCCGGCTTGATTCCAATTGAAAGATCCGGCAAGACCTGGGCTCGTAGCTGTCGCCCATGGTGCCTGATCACTAGCGGGGCTTGTAGGGTTAGACGGGGCGGAAGAAAGATGACCTCCAGGCAGCGAATGTTTACGCTGAGCGGAAAGCGGCACTTCGTTCAACCACGAGGTGCGACGGACTGGTGGCCTTGTGGTGGGTGGGATAATGTTCTGGGCTTGCGCTCCATGGTCTCCATCATCGTCAGAGGAGGCCAATGCATCCGAATCTGGGGTGGAACGGCGCACGCCTGGGTGAGTCTTCTCGAGGATGGCAGATGCTGTCACCGCAGCGGGTGGTGTGGATGACTGAGCCATTGAGGTTGATTTGTTAGGCGGCGCTGCCATTATGGTAAGAGGAACACTGTTGCAGTGTTAGTATGGGGTTCCCAGTATAATATGTGTGACAAACGCGATTATTCCCTGCAGACTGTGTCACCATGAGCACCACTTGACACCTAGTGAAGCAACACAACCAGAGCGGGGCTGCCTGATCAAGGAATACCGAAGCCACGGAGGAATGAGAGATAGTTCACTGACCTGTACGATCTTTGTTAATAGCAAAGCTGTACTGTATAGACGTCTCTTGGCCCAAGGAAAAGAATGAACACATGCGATAAAGCACCGGTCTTTGTTCCACGCGCTCGACGAGGTTGGGGTGGGGGGTCGATCTCTGCTCTTTAAAGGGACGATGGATGGCTGGGTAATGCGCTATGTTCAACTCCGGCTAAATTGAAGTTAGTGAGTGTTGCCGTATTAAAGCTGGATAGTAAAATAAGGGGCAAAAGGCACAAATGAAGGGAAATATAAGCATATGTAGGTATGGCATGACTGAGAGCCGCAAGAGAAAAGCGGAGATTGCGTTGATATGCATATCCTCGGCCCCTCTTGCGAGAGGGTCCAGAAGTGGGGATAACAAAAAAACCCCCTCGATCAAGAGACAGTTGTGCGCAACTGAATCCGAAGGACATAGGCATGAAGGAAATACAATTGCAAGGGGAGTAAGGGAAGAGTGAGAAATGTCCACAAATAAGAGAAATATGAAAACAACATGTAAGCAGATCGCGCCACGGAGAGGTGCACGTTGCCCAAGTTGTAGGAAACCGAAGCGACCGAGAACTAGACTCGTACGTACCTCAAGTTGGCGTCAAATACTTCAGCGAAAGCTTTTAGCTGGCCTAGCTGGCGGGCAGATTACCAGACAACTTTCAAGCAAAATAGTATCCACGAAGAAAAGAGAGTCGAAATTCAAAAGCAGTCGCGTGATCGCAATTGTGTCTGGGGAATTATCCATGTGTCAGCCCAGTCGCGTTCAGGACGAGGGAAACTCGGCTGAAATGTTGCGCAACTCACCACTCTAATCGTTCCTCTCAAAATGTCTATTTGCACGGCGCACGGGTAATCGTGGGTCTCGTCAAGGGTGTTGGGGGAGTCCTATGCCCGAATTGCACAGGTTAATTTCGAGGCGAACGGAGGCACGAGCCCGAGGAGAGGTCAGATAGGTAGGATTGGCGAGCAGTAGAAGTGCCTTATTGGGGAAATGATGAAGCGCGTGTCAACGAAGACGCTGAATCCGAACCTTCGATGGTCGTTCTATTGGGAAGCGGAATGCGCTCGGAGGGTTTGTACGATCGAAGCTGTGACCACAGATGACGTTGTGGAGTAAGCCGCGGGGAGTAGGCTGATCCCCTTAAGGATAGCGCATCTTGCGATCGAAGAGTGCGTGTAGATGGGTGATGAAAGTGGGAGGGAAAGAGAGGGGGGATATGTAAAAGATGAGGGGAACGCAAAGAGCCTGGGGTAACTTCTCTTACGGATCTGGCAACGTTGCCCCGGAGGACACGGACCACTATGGTTTGATCTTCGATTTTTAGTTAATTTCTTGGTTTTTGGTGGTTTTTAGTGGGGTTTTTTTTAAAGGATGAGACATGGAAATTATAAACAAGAAGATATTAAATGGAATATTTATTACACTATCAAGCTATATGGAATAAAAATGGAATCAAAGAAGGTCATAGGGACTACGGAGCTCTCCATAGGCTGAGGCAAAGTGGCGTCAACCATCCAGAACAGCCCTGGAGGCGGGTCCTTTGGAGTAATAGGCCGATCATCTGGGGTTATGGTTGGCAAGACCAGGAACATATTATAAACACTATATATATTTTAGATATATAATATTGTATCTACCTATATAACTGCTCCTCCCTAACTCAAAAGAAAATCCCTCGCACGGCCCTCGGGTCGCACACTTGCGGGGCAGCCCAGACTTTTCTTCCACTTTACCCCGGATTGATATGCATTTTCTGACACTTCATAGCCCCTCCAAGACGGGAGCTTCCTCTTACCCCTCTATTATACTTATTTTGGATTTCACATCTCTCAGATCCGTAACCTTCTTACATCTCGATTTCCTTAGGCAAATGCGTCTGGTTGAACAGCTCTGTGCCACATAGTCGTGTAGTACAGTAATGGCATTGTCAACGTGACTATTCTGCCTTCCACTCAATGGTCGATTCCACCCCTTTGTGCAATATAAGAGGAAAATAGAAATACGAAAAGTACTGTTAATGGGGACTCTAGACTCAATTTCCAAGGTCCATCTGTAATTGCTATTATTTCTGACGAACCACATTCTGCTCCGGGCCTCCGACCGGGTTTATTCCCTGGCACAAGATGCTGCAACATCCAACCGTTGGCTATGGTTCATTTTAGTTGTTTGCTAATGTAGGCGCTAATTGCTAGGCGCCGTTATGAGGTGCATTGGGAAGACTGTCCTGTGTCCCCATTCCTCTTTTTCGTAGTAATATAGGACCCCGCAATTTGGCTCCCTATTTCCACTATACATACCTAGGTACATACTACATACAATATGTATCAGTGCTAGTACTAGTAGCATATAGCATATTGTCGCACCCAAATAATTATCTTAATGGACGACCAATCATTTATACTAGTAGCATCCAGAGCATAGGTAGTGGAGGGCCGAGTGATGGCCAAGGTGGTGGAGAGGAGCTTGAAGGACCCGCTAATTGGTTGCAGCTCAACCTCGGAACCCTGGAAAGCCAAGGCCGTGCACTGCAATCACAGCCGACGAGACCAAACCTCATCCATCAGGTTGTCGAGATGTGGCCGTTGCCGTTGTGCTGGATGCTCTCTCTGCCAATGCTCACACATGCGCTCGTGGTGATTCTCTAGACAAGCATACAGTTTTGCATCGAATCAAGTCCATATGCGAAAGACATTACCGATATCCACACTCACCACCCGGAAGACAGATGACATACGCCGGGATATAGCTTATTGGTGCCGCCAGACACGAGCACCACACCATCTAATTGATTGCATCGGTAGCCAAACTTCGTCGCATTGAAATCATCCTCGAAAGAGTGTGCGGTTCGCTATATTTTGTCAAATTTGCGTATGGAAATCCTCTGAACAGTGCGATGGCGCTGTCCTTGGAGACCATTCTATTTTATATACAGTGATGCATCTATAAACCAATCACTCCAACCGCCTCCCACCAACATCGATGTCCACTTTATAATACTTGAATTTGCGACTCGGGATTTTGCGATCGAAAAGAATATCCAGCTCTTCGAATGTGCGACCTTTTGTCTCCGGCATACACAAGAAACAATACAAAGCGCAGAGCACGCTAAGCCCGGAGAAGAGGAAACCAATCTTTCCGCGCCAGTTTCCTTGATCCTCGTTCATGGCATACGGAATCACCACTGCAAATACTACCGACCAGACAAAACAAGTCACGGTAGATAATGCAATCGTCAGCCCACGGAGCTTAGCCGAAGATACCTCCGCCAGCAGCACATAGCAGAACGGGCCTAGACTCAGGTCATATGCAAAAGTGCAGACTAGCATCAGACCGCACTGCGCCCACGTGGTAGATGTCTGTCGTGGGGCGAGGTCCACGGCGCCGATTATGAACTGTACGATGGCGAGTGTGGTACATCCAAATAAATACATCGTTCGTCGACCAACGTATGAAAGCAGAAACCAGGAGATGCACGTCCCCAGAAGGCCGAGGGCCGTCAGGCCAATATTCATCGAGAACGCATCGGATGCGTCCAAGCCGGCTAACTCCATGAAATGCACGGCGTATGTGAGGAAGAATACATTACCGGTAAATGCCTGCATGTCGTATGCCATGACGCAGACAACTAAGCGCCGGAAGTTGGTTCCCCGGAAACAGTCGAGATAGGTGGGCCGCTCACCCTGATAGCTTTCCTCTATACGCAGGGTCTGCTTGATATGCGCCAGCTTTTGCGAGACATCGACAGCGGGAGTTGCGAGACGGCGCAGTGATACCGCGGCCTCCTGGTAGCGGCCCTTGCGACACAACCAGTAGGGTGGGTCGGGACAGAAACCCACCAGGATCAGCATGATGCAGGGTAAAGCCCATTGTGTTGCTATGGGGATCTTATACGACCACTGACTATCCAAAGATTCCGTTCCTTTGAGGATACCCGAGGCGATCAGCGAACCAATTGAAAAGGCGAGATTGGTCATCGTGGCTGCGAACCCACGCAGTACTAGTGGGGTCACTTCGCCGACGTATGCCGACGCACAAATCGGATAAAAGGCAATGATGCATCCATTGACGAGTTCGCCGACGAAGAGCTGCGCCGGCGTGGAGCTGAAAAACTGGATGAAAATGAATGCGATGGATAGCACACAGCAGCCGGCGGTCATTCGTCGCGGTCCCAGTCGTTCATATGCAATGCCAGAACAGAGGGCGCCTACAATTGCACCGAGTAGGTTGGCATATCCGAAGGCTGAGAGCCATTGTGCCGCGATGATGTATTTGCCGTCGCGGTTGTAGCCGAATGTCTTCTTGAAGACGGGAAGGCCAACCAGACTGCGGACGACACCACCATCAATGCCTTTCAAGATGGTTGCCTAACAAATGAGTACGGAGTCACCTTTTGGAAAATTTTGTGACTGACCATATTCATGAAAAGTCCCCAGCCAATGGCGGGGTAATGTAGACGCATGGCATCCCACCAAGCGAGGGCATGTTCTTGCTTCGTGAACTGGAATGACAGTTCAGCCTCTTCTGTCGCCTCTGCAGGAAGGCTCTGGACCACAATGGTCCCCTTCTCTGCTCCCATATTCTTCTTCGCACAAATCAATTGAATCCAAAAGAAAAAAGAAAGTTGAATTTATATATCTAAATGCCAAGGCTTGGCATGCCGTTGCAGCGGAGGATGCCGTGGAGTGGAGCCTTTTCAGAGGACCTTGAGGGTTTGGGCTTTCGCTCGTAGCGGCTGGTATAACTTCGGATAATTCTGTAAATCTGTTACGCACTTCCAAGATTAACATATATCTTACTTAAGAATAGTCGAAGTTATATGGCCGAATCTCTTTGTATCATTGACAGCTAGCTAAATAGCCCGGTTTGGCTCTCCAGCTTTTGACTGAAGTGTCATCCTATGCCTTGCAAATTGTCTTGCCGGGACCTTCGTTTGTAGAGATCGTCAATGTCTTCCGTCGACAGCCCAGTCGTATCTGGGGTAATTGACCAAGCACCCCAGATAAGCAATACCGAAGCACCCGCAAACACAAAGCCAGTTCCAGCGCTCAGGTTACCCAAGTCGACGTTATACATGTACGGCACAACAAAGGCCACCAGCCAAGTTGTGAATGTCTGGGCCATTATTCCAAGGGACATGGACTTTGCGCGCAGTCGGTAGCTAGAGATATCTGCAATCGAGCAGCCGGGAGCTTGCCTTAGACTCACCTGCAAGGAAATGTGGACATTTCTGGATGTTTCTCAGCTTTAGATTGCATAAGAAACGAAGTACCTCTTACATGAAAATAGCAATCGCCCGGCAGGTAATTCAATCGAATTAATTAGCATTCATTTCCATTCCCAAGCTAATGTACAAGGTATATGCTCCCAAATGACCTATTTTACGGCGCACTGTCCAAGGGCGCACTAGCTGTAGCAGCAGCACCCTTCTGCTGGCGCAGCTTCTCCTCGAACTTCGAGAATTCATGCATGGAAATAATCTCCTCCTCATCCATAACCTGCTCAACACCCTTGACCTCCTCAATCTAAGGCCAAAGTTAGCAAAGAATCCTTATGTCAAAACCAAATGAATGAGGGGCAGGGGATGAACATACATAGTGCATAAGCATAGACTCAATACCATTCTTCAACGTAACAGTGCTGGAGTCGCAGGTGCGGCAAGCGCCACGCAGCTTCAACATAACAATGCCATTCTCAAACCCTTTCAATTCAATATCACCACCGTCTTCCTGGATAGCAGGACGGATGCGAGTCTCGAGCAATTCCTTGATCATGCTGACAACCTCGTCATCATCCTCGTTAAAGGAGAGCGAGTCCTCGCCACTCTCCTGTTCACCATCGATGGCACCCTCGATCGTCGTCACGATCGTCTCACCAGATGTCACAGCTTGGGTGATGATGCTGAAGACTTCCGGCTTGATGTGCGCCCAGTTCGCGTCGCTGCCTTTCGTCACTGTGATGAAGTCTGTGCCGTAGAAGACGGATGTGACGCCTTCGACATCGAGCAGTTTCGCCGCGAGAGGGGATGGGTGTGGCGGCGCGAGGGTCGATCGTGGTGACATATACTCGAGGAATGTGCTGGGGAAGTCCTCCGGGAGGACGCGGTGGTTCGGGATGAACTTTAAGGCCTAAATTGTCGGATACCAAGGTCAGTTCGGTTGCTTTTGTTCAAGATGAATAATTGAGCTCTGGAAACTTACGTCGGGGTTGGGGGTGTTTTCGGTCTGGATGAAAATAGTGCGTTTGCTGGTCGGCGAAAGGCCGTTCACTCCACCCTGTGAGGCGGGCTGCTGGTGCGGTCGCACTGTTGGTCGGCGACGGGTCTCTGATGCTGTGATTGTCGGGAGTCTGGCTGCGCTGGACACATATCTGTAGCGGGCGAATACCGGTCTGATTGTTCGGGCGGAGCACTCGACGGGAGTGGCCAGACGGCTGCTTAGCAGAGCGTGCCGGAACATTGTTGTGGATGGAGTGCTCATAGACATTATGTTATAGAGTTAAATGTGCAAAGATAGTTGATAACTGGTGGATTGTAGAAAAGCATTCGAGGATCTCTCTGGCTGCCGCTCTGACGCAATTTGATTGCACGTGACCTGAGATCATTGCCGGATGACAAATGAAGACAGAGTCTCGGCCAATGAGAAGAGATGTTTTGCACAATTGCCAACCTTGGAAGTATGGATGCGCCGACTGTCGGAGGTTGAGAAACCAGTAGTTCATGGTCAATTGTCATCTAAATATATCTCAACGAATTTTTGATTCTACACCCGGATGGAGCATCATTATGATCGAAACTTGCCCACAGTCGGGCTTTCGGAAAGTAAACTTCCCTGTGTCAAACTTACACAGAATTTTCCGAAATCAGTTTCGTTGTCAATGACATCCGCGTTGTTTTTGAACCCTAATGCCAAGAAACGCTAGCCTATATATGGATTATGCATGCAAGTACGAATGACTATTCTGTATAGCAAATAAAAGTCACATGAATATGGTACACGGAACCTGCCGGTATGGCGATACATAGTCCAGAACCCTCACGTGCCACTTACTAGAAATGTTGGCGCAACCTGATCGAAGGAAGCCGAAACATCGCGATTATTCCAGTGGCAGGGCAAAAACTATATAGGGCTCATTTCTCCCAGGCCCCTTTGAAAAGAGATTTGAAAATATAAGAGAGTTGGAAACAGAATCCAATTACAGTACATACAACTTTGCTAGATAGAAAATGTAACTATACAAACTCTGCCATTTCTGCACCCAAGTGCTATAGCTCCATCTTTGACTGTTGAAGACATGGGCTGATAGTCGGGAGGGAGCCATAACTCTCTTTGACCCTGAATGGCGACCCACCGACCTGCCTGCAGAGATACCTCAATCTTTGTTTCAGAGGAATTTGATGAGAAGCTTTCATGCCAGGCTTGGATATCAAAAGATCCCAGGTTGGTAACAAGATAGGGCAGGCTCTTGGAGAATTTGATGTCGGTAACAATATCGTCAGTGCTTATAGTATGTTTGGGGATGCCAGTAGCGGGATCCCAGAGCTTGATGGTCTTGTCTTTAGAGCCGGACGCCAGTAGCCGGCCATCTGGTGAGAAGGCGAGTGATTGAACCGAAGATGAATGGCCCTCCAGGGTGTGCTCAAGGGCGCCAGTAGCGGGATCCCAGAGCTTGATGGTCTTGTCATCAGAGCCGGACGCCAGCAGCCGGCCATCTGGTGAGAAGGCGAGTGACTGAACCCAAAATGAATGGCCCTCTAGGGTGTGCTTAAGGGCGCCAGTAGCGGGATCCCAGAGCTTGACGTCGTCATCAGAGCCGGACGCCAGCAGCCGGCCATCTGGTGAGAAGGCGACTGACTGAACCCAAAATGAATGGCCCTCTAGGGTGTGCTTAAGGGCGCCAGTAGCGGGATCCCAGAGCTTGATGGTCTTGTCTTCAGAGCCGGACGCCAGCAGCCGGCCATCTGGTGAGAAGGCGAGTGACTGAACCGAAGATGAATGGCCCTCTCGGGTGTGCTTAAGGGCGCCAGTAGCGGGATCCCAGAGCTTGATGGTCTTGTCTTCAGAGCCGGACGCCAGCAGCCGGCCATCTGGTGAGAAGGCGACTGACTGAACCGAAGATGAATGGTCCTCTAGGCTGTGCTTAAGGGCGCCAGTAGCGGGATCCCAGAGCTTGATGGTCTTGTCTTTAGAGCCGGACGCCA